CCGCAAAGCAGTCCACCTGAAAGCGATTTAACTCGTGTAACAGGCATCTGCAAAGGTCATCTTCCCCACGTGGACCAAATGTCTCCTTAGCAACTGAGCTCTTCAGAGGGAACCCCGGGCTCACACCCCCTCAGTGTTCTCAGCCCTGTCAAATGACCAAACAGAAACAATTTAGTGACAAGTTTACCCTTATTTGAGGGAAAACAAGCCGTGGATTGAGGGAGCGCTCTGGCAGGATTTGGGGCAAGAGGGAGTTGGGTAGAGAAGCAACAGTGTGCGAACAAATGGGCACGGCTGGCTAGGAGGCTGGGGTCTCCTTAGAAGGCGGGCAGGTCCTATTTTCTAGGGTTTTCAGGGTGTGTTGGGTTTCCCTGACAGGTGTTTCACGTGACTTGGGCTTAGAACCGTGGCATGGGCTCAGCCACCAGGGCCACCACCATTTTGTGGCCCTGTATATGAATTCACTTTGTCAGCCCAAACCTGGACTTCAGCAGACTTTGGGAGGAGAGGCGCCTTCTGTCAGCTGGGCTGGGCAGCAGGAGGGCAGTGGGGTGCCGACAGAGAGGTCACCGGGCAGAGCAGACGGCAGTGGGAACGGGGGCCTCTGCTCCCTCCTCAGGCAGCCAACCGGCAGGCAGAGGCCACAGCTGACGCCAGCAGGGTGACGAGGCAAAGACTGGCTTTCTGAGGTTCCCAAATACCGGCCTTGAAAGCGGGAGGGGGAGGGCCCTAGCATCTGGCACTCAGTTTGGCGGTGATCTGCTTCCTTTGAGTTTGCAGGTGTTTTGAAGGCCTTTTGTAAGTATTACATACTAATCAGGGAAGAACCCGATTTCTCAAAAGACCTCTTGCAAAACCTAAGGTCCAAGTCTTCATGACTATTATTCTCCTCCTCTCTCAACTGTTGGCTGCAAACTACAGTCAAGTAGGACTCCGCGCTTCCCGCGGGCCCAGCCGGCGGACCGGGTGTGAGGTGACCCCTGGCCTTTGCTCATCTGTCCCAGCTCCCAGGTCTGCCTGTGCGCTCAGCCTGCCGTCTGGGCACCTAGCTCCGTGTGTCTGGGGGAAGAGGGACAGAGTTAATGGAACACTTGAGTAGAGTGATAAAATCCACACCTCTCACCCTGGCCTACAGGCCCTCAGGGACTGGGTCCACTCTCCTGTCCGGCCTCATCCCGGCCCCTCTCCTCAGTCATGGGGCTGGAGCCACCCTGACTCCGGAAATCTGTTCCTCTCCCAACCCAGTGTTCATAACAACCACACTGTCCTCCTGGAAGGCTCTTCTCCCGGCCCCACTCAGGGTGGCTCTTTCCCATCCCTCGGGCCTCAAATCAAATGTCTCCTCCGCACCCAGACCTTCCCGGACCCACTAATCCAGACTCCTGGCTTCCTCCCACCACCTTCTCTCCTTTATTTCATCCTGTTGATTTCCTTCTCAAATCTTTTCAAAACTTAGACTTGTCTTATGAAAAGTATACCACTGGTGTCGGTCTCCCCAACTAGAAGGCAAGCTCAATGAAGCCGGGTCCGTGGTTTGCCCTGAGAGCTACTGATCCCACAGGGCCTATGTCTCAGGGAACCATCCAAAAAGTGCCATTCATGGAGTCACAAGACGACACCCTGGCCTCCTCAGTAGGCGGGGCTGTGAATGTCTATCCAGATAGCAGGAGAGGGCAGGACAGAAGAACCGAGAGCGACAGCCGAAGGTTGGCCTACATTCTAGTACTACTTACCTTCAAACTCTGCCTTGGGTCCTGTGAGCCTTAATCTTAGCTTCCCATAAACTCGCTGTGGAGTCCCGCCACCAAAAACCAGGTGAGAAGGGGCGCCTTGGGTGGCTTGCTCGGTTAAGCGTCCAATTTCAGCTCAGGTCATGATCTCACGACTCATGAGTTTGAGCCTCACCTGGGGCTCTGTGTTGACAGCTCAGAGCCTGGAGCCTGCTTCCGATTGTGTGTGTGTCTCTCTCTCTGCCCCTCCCCTGCTTGCTCTTTCTTTCTCTTTCTCCCTCTCTGTCTCCCCTACTCTCTCTCAGAAATAAAATTAAAAAAAAAAACAACTTTTTAAACATTAAAAAAAAGTGAGGATGGGTCCAAGGTGCAGGCATGTTCTTGTGGTGAAGGATTTTTTTCTCCCTCTAGAGACTTATTTTTTGACCCTGTCCCCAGCTGCATCATCCGCTCGCAAAGGCTAACAGGCAACAACACAAATAAACAAAGAGTTAGCTACCATCCACGGAGCCGCTGAATCAGCCCACGTCAGCCGCTCAGCGCTCAAGGAGGTCTTGAGATGGACGATTGTGACCCTGGGTGGTGGTCCCGTGTGCGGTCATGTTTTTGCTGGTGAAGCTGCTTTCCATTTCCAGGGCAGAATTAAGCAACTCAAAATGTCACACATTGCCTAAAAGGCCGACGTCGGGCCTGGCCTGCCACAGAGCGCGGCGTGACCCCGGGAGGGGGGGGCTGCCTCCGCCTCGGCACCTTTGGGAAGTACCACCGTGGCCCAGTTTTGAAAAGTGAGAACCTGCCAAAGGAAACATGACACATTTCCCTTTCTTCTTCCCTTTTTGTGTCGGTCGGAGGCGCACCCACACCGCGAGCGCGCCGGCCGTGCGTGTGGTCAGCCGAGGGGTTCCAGGCAGGGCTGACCACTCTCTACTCCGGGCTCTCCACTCCGTCAGCACTGGAACAACGCAGAGGTTCCGGTCTGGCTCCTGGAGGGGGACCCTGAAGGGGACGCTCTTCGTGGGCACTCCGGTCCCCTCCACAGGGCTCACTCTAAGAGTTTGCTGAACACTCAATGAGCGAGGTAGAATTTCCGGGGGGGGGGGTGGAGGAGCGGTCACCTGGCACAAGATGGTGTGCCCTACGAGGCCACCCCGGGGCATCGTGACAAGCGTACAGGGGGGAGTCAGGGGAATGGTGAGAGACTGAGCCCCGGCTATGGAGAAAGTCTGGTTACTGGATATCATGAGACATGGAGGCAGGAAGAACAGATTGGGGGAAAAAAAAAGAAAAAAACCAGAACGAGGGTGGGGGTTTGGGGGGTTGTTTTTCCAGAAGACAAAGCAGAGAAGGAAGTTTTGTGGGGATCTCAATCACTGGGATAAGATGACAGTGTAAAATGCAAAGCCATGAGTAGAGCAGTGACAAACAGAAGTTATAAATAAGCACACGGCCCGTATCTGTACGCAAGGGAGCGACAGGACGATCACGCGGATGGACATTCTAGCAGGTCACAGAAAGGTGCCAAGTTTAGTCAGGAGAAGGAGACCAGAGCCACGATCTCCCTGTGGGAGAGGGAATGAAGGTACTAGGACAGTTCGTGGACGTCCTTTTGAGTCTGTGACTCAGGAGAGCAAGTGGCACTTCAGGCGTCTTGAGAAACAAGTGCCATTGGCAAGGGACGGCGATTCACGAACGTCGCCACAGCGTCGTTTCTAGTCTAAGTAACGTCGTAAAGCGTGAAAACACTGTTCAGGAATCACTTCTCGTGACACAGGGAAATGCTCACGCCATAACGATGGTGACAAAGCAATGCAAACACACGTGTTCGCGGGAGCCCGACTGTGTAAAACAACATTACGAAGGAAATGCATTGTTAAGAGTGGTTGTTTCTACAGCCCGAAGGTATAGATGATTCTTAGTCATTCACATATTTTTCTAGTTTTCTACAATCATCATGTATTGCTTTCTTATAAACAGGAAAAAGCTCAGCTAAAAATGGCAGCAGTGACATAGCAGTCTCCTGGTTTACCCCCCGAAGGGGCAACGCTGGTCATGAAAGAATTTTTTTGAATGTTTTACTTATTTCTGAAAGAGTTAGAGAAACAGAGTGAGCAGGGGAGGGGCAGAGAGAGACGGAGACACAGAATCCAAAGACAGCCTCCAGAATCCGAAGACAGGCTCCAGGCTCTGAGCTGCCAGTACAGAGCCCGACCCGGGGCTTGAACCCACAAACCCTGAGATCATGACCTGAGCCAAAGTGGGCCGCTCAACCGACTGAGCCACCCAAGTGCCCCTCATGAGAGAGAATTAAAATGTGATTATGAGGATTGTTAAAAGCCAAAAAAGCCAGGGTGGGCTGTTAGGACAGCAGAGAAGAGAGCCGCAGGGGTTTCGAACCCAACACCTGGAGGCTTTCCCTACGAAATGTTTAGACAAAGGAGCTGCAACCAGCCTCCAGACTCTCAGTCCTTGAGGTCCCGAAGTCTGTCCAGATGTCTGACCCGACACAGGTAGCAGCCAGCGCAGAGCCGTGCTGAGTGTGTCTGACACACAAAACATGGCCCCTGGCCTCAGGACGCACTGCTGGCTTGTTAGGATGTGTACAGAAGAGGGACCCGGGCAATAATGGAGGGGTACCCCAGGGCGTGGCCTGGCTTTTAAATTTTTTTTCTTTCTTTCCTTCCGTCTGTCTGTCTTTCATTCTTTCTCTCTCTTTATCCCCCTCTCTTCCTTCTTTTCCTTCCTTTCTTCCTTTCTTCTTTCTAAAAAAAAAAATTTCCTTCTGCCTATCAGGCACATTCAGGGGATAAAATGGAGGGCAAGGTGGATAAAGGGGGCAGGGGGCATAAGATTTAGAGGCAGAGAGCCGGGCAGGGTCTCAGGAGTTGGGGGGAGGCTGAGAGAGGGCAGATGGGATTGGGGGTGGCCTGAGCACTGCCAGAGTGGAGGGCACTGGGGAACAGGAGCCCCACCCCCACCCCGACCCCCCGGAGAATTAACTGCAAGTACAAGTTCAACAAGTTCAAAGTTGCCCTGAGCTCCGTGCTCTCCAGGCGGAGGAGCTGAACTCTATGCCTATAAAGAGGAGGGAGAAGAAGGTGAGCCAGGGGCGACCACCTTCTCCACACTTGTGCTCCTGGGCTTCCCAGGCCCGGTTTTATTTTGATTCACGCTCTACTGAAAGCCTCCCAAAGGGCAGCTTAGAGAAAGGGAGGAAGTCGAAAACAAAGGCTGGGGGGGGGGGGGCGGTGCCTGGGAGCCTGGGCCAGCGGTGGTGGCTGATACGATCTCCTTCTCTGGGGTCTGCCACGCCTTTTGAACCAACCCGGCCCTGTCTTCAAGTGAAAAATGCTTAAAAATAGTGATTTTTTTTTTTTTTGAAATCAAGAAGAGGGAGCAGCCATGTAAAGCCACCCCCACTCCCAACCAAGGAGGCAAGCCAAAGCTCCTTTGCTACAGCGCATGCGCACAAATCAGAATTCAAGCCCTGGAAATCCATCCTACACCCTGAAATACCTCAACCCATTAAAAACGTAGACCCAGGTTTTTACAAGCAGTTGTGAGATATGAAAACCGTACAGAACACCTTCCTGCTGGGGATCCGCACCGCGGGGCTGGACGGGCTAAGGCTTCCCGCTCTGCTCAGCTCACAACACATGGACTAAAGACACCTTTCCATACCTGATAAACCTTGCTGTCGCAAAGGGGGTAGGGGGAGGGCCTGGGGCCTCCTTGAGGCCCTTCTGTCACCTCAGCGCCTCACTGCCGAGGTCCCCTGTAGGAGAAGCCAGTGGCGGAAGCCCAAGCCCATGGTGGGTGGTGGCAATGTGAGTTCAAAACCTCATTGGCGGTACAGGTGTGTTTCTCTTCTGACAGACGCCGGCCTCACCCCTAGGCGGTGTCCCAGCTCTCGATCAAAGGAGTTGCTGATAAATCTTTATTCTCCTTGTTTGCACTCACTCAGGTCCTCTGAGGGGAGTCCCCTGCTCTAGAGTGAATGACTGTGTCCTTCACAATTCGTATGTTGAAACCTGACCTCCAAAGTGATATTAGGAGGTGAGGCCTTTGGGAGGTGATGGGGTTGAGAGCAGAGCCCTCATGAATGAATCAGCGCCCTTGTTAAAGAGTTCCCAGAAAAAAATAACAATGCCCCAGAGACGGCCCCCCACCTTGTCCCGTCCATCATGTGAGGACACAGGGGAAGGGTGTCCCTCTATGAACCAGGAAGTGGGTGCACCAGACACCAAATCAGCCAGTCCTTCGATCTTGGACTTCTCAGCCCCCAGAGCTGTGGGAAATAAGTGTCTGTCATTTATAAGCCGCCCAGTCTGTGGTATTTGGTGCAGCGCCCTCTCCCTCAGCCGGTCCCATCTCCTGTTCCCTCGTGCGTGTTCTCCCTCTGGGCACTTTCTGTTCTTGCAGAACAGGGATGGGATGTGGTCGGACCCCCGAGCCTCTCTCCCGGGGCCACGGCTCGCTTCACCTCAGGACACCACCCGGCAGCCCAGGCTGGGTGCACCAACAGCCAGACACATACACACTCTCTCTGTGTCCCCCAGCCACTCTGTATGTGTCTCGGAAGGCTGGTGGCACTGAGCTCCTAACCACTTTGGGATGTAAATGGCTATTTTATTCCGTAGTGGAAAACTTACTAATATAAAGTTACCATAGGCAGACTACTGTGGTAGAGACCAGTCTGGAAAAGTTCTTCGGATTAAAAATGGGAAAGACTGTTCAAATGTGATGAGGACGATGCATGCTGTATTACGGGGACTACAACTCAGTTTTCTGCAGGTCAATTTGGCAATATGCAAGGAGATCACTAAAAAGTATTTCTACCTTTGGCTCCATGATCGCACGTTAGATATCTAGCCAGAGGAAAAATCAGATTCCAAACGAGAATCATACAAGCATCTTCTTTAACTGTCACAATAGTAAAAATGGAAACAATCTGTCCAGTGGTGCGATGGATAAATCTATGGCACGAACTATTACACGGCCATTAAGCATGTTTTTGAAGACTATTTAACAGCTTGAAAAACGTTCAGAATATCCCATGAGAAAATCATTGTGGTCAATAGTGTGATTTTTTAAAAACACATCACCATGTAGGAAAGAAATGCTGGTAGGAGATTAACAGTAACATGCGCGGTGGGAGGTTATTTTTTATAGTTTTTTTCTTTTAAATATTATTTTCCAAGATTTCTATGATTCCTGTTCTCAGGGGAAAAAAAACATAGACACTTAAAAAGTGGTGAGTGCTCCTGTGTGACTTCGTGAGTAGTGGCCTCGGTCTTTACCAAGTAGTGATTCCCGGAGCAGGGCAGGTAAGCTCACAGAGAAGTCTAGCAGACCTCACCCCCAGCTTGTGTTAGATCAGGCTACAGGGCTTCTAGAACACTCCAGTGCCCTGCCCCAACCTAGAAGTTCTGACGTGCCTGGCCTTCTGACAGTTCTTACAGCCACCCCCCACCCCCACCCCGTCCCCGGGGCGTGCTGCTGACTGACAGAGGCGGCTGGCAATGACTTTCCAAGTGCGTCTGGCCCGTGGGCTCCCTCAGACTTCTCTCGTTCCACTGGTTGCCACGGGTGTCTGTGGAATTCCCCCCGGGAGGACATGAGCTTGTGAGGAAACCGGGAGGGGGGCTGGACATTGACTGGTGTGACTTCCCTCAGGTGCCCGGGAAGGCGGCCCCGCAAAGGGCAGGAGACGATGACCGTCCCAAGGCCAAGGTGGGGCAAGCAGCTGCTGTTCCTGGGCATCATGCTAGCCACGGTGCTGGTCATCTCCCTGCTGTTCTACGCGCTCCTCTGGAAGGCCGGCAACCTCACGGACTCGCCCGACCTGAGGATCGGCTTCTACAACTTCTGCCTGTGGAACGAGGGCACCGGCTCCCTCCAGTGCCACCAGTTCCCGGAGCTGGAGGCCCTGGGGGTGCCGCGGGTCGGCCTGGCGCTGGCCAGGCTTGGTGTGTACGGGGCACTGGTCTTCGCTCTCTTTGTCCCCCTGCCCCTCTTCCTGGCCTGGTGCAACAGTAACGAGGCCGAGTGGCAGCTGGCGGTGGGCTTCCTGGCGATGTCGTCCACGCTGCTGGCCAGCGGCCTGGGCCTCTTCCTCACCTACACGTGGAAGTGGATCAGGCTGTCCCTCCTGACGCCCGGCTTTCTGGCTCTGGGCACCGCCCAGGCCTTACTCCCCCTCCTGCTCATGGCCACGTTTGTGTTCCCTCGGAGGCCAGAGGACGAGATCAAGCTTGACAGCTATTAGGTCTGTCGGGAGGCTCACACAGTTGCAAGAGTTCAGTCTGAACTCCGCTCAGAGAAGGTGCCAGCAAATTCCTGGGCTGGCATGTCTTCTCAGCCTGTTTCATAGCGAATGCCGGCCTCAAGCCCTGGCAGATGGGACCCACCGCGCAGGAGGAGGGGGTCCCCAGTGCCGAGAAGGTCAGGGGGTGGCAGCCACGGGACCTGCGGCTTCTTAGTGTGGGCTGTCCGTCCTGCGGGCCTTCCACGGCCCCCAAGGACACACCACGAAAAGCACACAGCTCACGGGGGAGAGAACTCCTGCTTTAACTGACTGATCTGAGCAAGCCGTTCCCACTTGTCCTCCGAACCAGGGGCCGATAAGGATTCCCATCACTGGGCCTGGGTTCTAGCATAATTAGCCAAATGTCGCACTAGAATGAAGGTTCATGGCAACAAAGGGAGAACATGAGAGAGAGAGAGGGAGCGCACACCTCAGTGTCCCTCGGGGCCCTGGTTAGCAAGCTCCCCGTCTCCACGGTGGGTGTGAGAGTGATGGGTGTGTGAGGTGACGAGCCCCTCTCCCGAAGGCCCACGAATCGTCCCTGAGGGACTCACTGGACAGAACACACGGGCACACAGACAAGCCTCGGTGGTTTTGAAGGTTCTCCCGAAAAGTCTCCCTGACCTGAAGCCAGACAGAGCAGGGGGGCCGGTGGGCAAATGGTTCCTAGCACGTGACCTGGGAGTCGGGAACACGATGTGCCAAATCCCCCGGCAGGAGGGGAAGGTGAAAACAGCCGAACGGGTCCGTGTACATACGGATGCTGGGGTCTTCACTTCTCAGCCCAGAATCGAAAAGGACATAAATCCAACTCACACGCCGGGAGGCTGTTTGTATTTTTCAGCACCTGTGTATTGGAAACCCTATACAGCAAATGACTGCCTCAGTCTACGCCTGTCCAAACCCACGCTGAATAGAGTCAGAAACATGGACCCCGGTGTGATCTCGTCTTTAGGGTCTCTGGGAGGGACTGAGGCAAGGCGGCCCCCTGGGGGAGGAGGGCTTCCGATCTGCACGCTGAGCCTCCAGATCCCACACAGGGCAGAGCACTGTGCGCAGGGCACCTGCCCCGGGGCTGCGGGAGGCACGGGGACTGGGTTCACAACAGGCGTCTCCCTTAGGGAGAGACCACGCGGACCGGACCGTGGGAGCTCCAGGGCCCTTAGCGGCTGTGCCTCTTTTTCTTTGAAAATTACTAAGTTGGCTCTTCGGTTCCAATCCGTTGGGCCACCATGTCCACATTTTCCCTGGACCCGGAAGGGCAATAAAACCACAGCCTCCGAGCGGAGAAGGCGCAGCGCAGAGAGATTCTGACCGAAGCTCACTTGGATTCCTCACTTCCACACACTCAGCACAGGAGCTCCCCTCGGAGGGGACTCTGCCTGCCAGGGAGGAGCGCCCGGGGAGGAGCGGGAGGAGTGGGAGAGACTGCAGGCCCCAGCGAGGAGGAGGAGGGGAAGCCGGCTTCCTTCAGCGCTCCGCTCCGAGTAGAAAGTCCTGAGAAGCCTGTCCCTTCAGCTGAAAAATATTTCCCTGACGTACTTGAGCGAGTCCTCATCGTCCTCAGGGCTTCTGCTACGGGCAGAGTCCGACCCCGCGGGCCCCTGAGAAGGGCAGAGGCCTGGAGGAAGGGCGTCTTCCCCATTGTCCCCGTCCTCGCGGCTACTACTCCCAGGAGAGCTCGGTGACGGTGACGACGCTGAGTGGGTCGGGGACAGCTCCGGTTTATCAGAGCCAGCCAGAGTCGGTGGCTCCGAGGGCTGTTCCTGTTTCCGGGCCTGACGGACAGGGGAGGTGACAGGCAGAGCAGATTATGTTATTTCCCAGTGAACATGCTGGTCTGTCCCGCTGCGATGCAGAGCGCACGCGGAAGCCACCGTGAAGCCAGCGTGTGACCGGCTCGAGCACCACCCCCAAATCAAAGCCTCTCCCCTCACAGCTCCCCACTAAGTCAAGGCCCAGTCAGGAGAGAGACAGGCAGGGGCCTGAGGAATGTCAAAGACGAAAAGAAAAATAGGAAAAGCCTATCTGGAAGGGTGGGGGTGACAGAATGGAAGGACCACGGATACAAAACTGGAGTGTGGGGCTGAGTTCTGTCACTTATCGGTTGTGTAACTGAGGGAAAGTCCCTGGGCGTTAATATCTTCATCTGTAAAATGGGGACAGTAATATCCAAAATCACTATCACCAGGTTATCTCAAGGATTAAATGAGGTAATAACATAGGAAAGCACCTGGTCAACTGGAAAGTACTACACGACACTAAGGTGGTATAGTAACTATTCGCTTCAGAAGCTAGGAGACTGGGTGGCATTTGGCTGAGGAGAAGTCACCTCACCCACCTGAGACCCTTCAGCAAACATAAGGAGTGAAAGACTTCCTGTCCCCTCCCCACACCAGCACAGAGTCCCCCAGAGTAAGCTGCTCTCTCGCCCACGACCACTCCCTCCCCAGGTGTCCAGCCCCAAACATTCCGTGACACCGCACATGGGGAGAGGCCAAGGGGAGCGTGAGAAGCGCTAAGCAAGGGACAGCTGGACAAAGTGGGATGACAGATGACAGGGCTCCCCAAGGCCGACTGAGAATGCAGGGCGTCTCTTTCACTGCCATTAACCAGGGCCCCCGTCCGGTTTCCGGTCATCAGAGCAAGAGGCACCGTGAACTTTACCTCAACCAGGGTCCCCAGAGCCACATCTACCAATTCGGCCTCGCTCATGCAGTACACAGTCCTCAGGGCAGGAGGCCTGAAAGGAAGGCATGATGCCACAGATGGGGACAGACACTCAGGTCTCACACCCCGGGGCTCCCCACCCGCAGCCACTTTCCCATCTGGCAGTAGGGACGGAAGCAAGGAACGATGGCCAGACCCTGAGAGTCACCGCCCCACACACAACGGACACGAGCAGACCAGGCCAACACGTGTGGAAACCCACCCGCATGCAGGACCGCGACCATCAGAAGGGCGGAGGGCCAGTTTGGACAAGTAAGAGAAGGGAGAGGCAGGGCGGGGAGGCCTGGGTGCCCGGTGTAGGAGAACGCAGACACGTCCCCTCCCTGGCGGCCTGAAGACTCCCCCAACTACCACCATTCAGCTAACTGGCCCCTCAGCTCATTTCATGATGACCGCTGCTCGTCCGTCAGTCCCTGAAGATCTGCCCGCAGGGAGGCCGGGACCTGGTCCACGTACCTTGACCACTTGATGGTCACAATTTTTGTTGCGAATAAAGACATTGGCACTTTGGACATCCGGCGTCTAGGAGTTTGGCTAAGGTGTGTAACCCCGAGGGGGAGCACTACCTGGGAGGGCGGATGCACCAGCGGAGGCGGCGCCCCTCTGAGGGGAGGGCCCCCTTCACCTCTGCGACTTGTGCACCTAAGAGCAGGGGACTGAAACAGCCACCCTTCCCCCGCCCCCCCGGCCAAACCGTGCTGCCAGCACCAGAAGCCTCAGCCCCAGCAACTGTGATGCCTCCAAACTCTCCCTCCTCCTGATTCCCCAGGACCCCGGCCGGAAGCTGCCCCACCTTCCCGCAGCAGCCACTGGCATTGCTGCCGGTTTCCTCCCTTTCGGGGTCTTCACGGACACCTTTTTCTTCTCAGCCACCTGGGCTGTCATCCATGTGGGAAGGACCCTCTTTTTATTCCCAGATTTGAAGGTTTCCATCTCTCTTTTCTCTCATGAAGACCAGTCAGGGCCCAGGCTTAATGACTTGCTTTTCTAATTCAGGACGGGGAAACTCCCCTCTCATCCGACTGAGAACTTTAGGTCCGTCTGTCCTGAATGGGAGTCACGCTTTAATTCCTACAAAGAACAAAGTCCAGTGAACTCTAGTAAGTTAGAATATTCCAGTCACCAGCTGAAGTGACTGCGCAGCACAGGCCAGAGGTGAAGGGCAGGCCCCAGGAGTCTAAGAAGGCCCATGACCCTTGTCCCTGCCTTCCAAGGTGCTCGCTGTCCCCAGGGTGCCCAGCCCATCCTACCCTTAAAATATCTCTCAGGATCTCTCCGTCACCTCTCCAACTCCAGCCTTCTCATTTCCTCTGCCTTGGTGTGGTTACAGAGAACTCCAAGACCATTTTGGTTCCCCTTAGGGTTTAAGTGGCCAACCCTTCCTCCCTTAATCCAAAGATACTTCTGAGTGGGCAGATTTTAGCAGCACCAGGGATCAGCCACCACAAGTGGACCCGGCTCCGGGATGGAGGCAGCCGGAAGGCCCCGGTCAGCCTCTCTCATCTAACCTGGTCTCTCTTCTCCCCACCCCCCACTTAACACGGCCACTGCCCTTCCCCCTAAAGCTCAGTCCCCACCCAGGGACTCAGGGTACAAGTCTCACCCTTTCAACTTGGCGGTCGATTCTGAAAGCAGCTCAGGGCTCCGCCTAGGGAGGCTCTTACCAGAGCAGAGGTTTGCCTAGAAAAGGGTCAACCATGAATAAGAGATCCCTCTCTGAATCATAATCACTTATGGCTCATCTAGAAGGCTATTTACAACTTAAGGGGGAAAAAGTGAGCAGGACGTCACCCTAACCTGTCCGGCCAGAGGGCAGACCTTGGCCAGTGTACCTGGCTGTCAAAATTCGGGCAGTGCCGACAGTCGCCGGTTGCCGCGACTGCGGAGCACTGCGACCCGCGGGCACACCGACGTTCATTCCACCCCCAGGCAGGTATTATCAAGCCGATTTTTACAAACGAGGAACTGACAGCAATGCGCACGAGGGTACAAAAGAAGGGAACAGCCAGCCAGAACGCGCAGCCGGGCCCTGCAGGCCAAACCCTGTGCCCGGCCGCCGCCGCCGCCGCCGCGCTGCCGGGGCTCCAAGAAGCGCGAAGCCCGCCACAGCCCGCGCCACCGGCCCGCCAGCTCGGGATGTGCCCGGCGCTCCCGAGGCACGGCCGGCCCCGCTCCGGGGCACCCTGCGCCTCCCGGGCCGCGGCCAGACGTGTGCCAACCTGAGTGGGGGGGGGGGCGAGGGCGGAGGGGAGGCACGCGGACGACCACGCGGGGAACCGCCGGAACCGCCTTCCTCGGGGCCCGCAGGCTCGCGGCTCCGGCGCGGCGGGGCCCAGTCCCCGACCACGCGCCCCTCCGGCCCGGCCTTCCTGCCTCCCGGGCCGGCGCGCGGCACTCGGCTTCCGGGGCGGGCCCGAGAGGGGGCGCCGGGCGGCCGTGGGGGCACGCGACCCCCCGCACTTGCGAGTCCGGAGGGACCCGGCCCAGCCCCGCCCCGCGCTCAACCCCTCCGCCGCGCGCGGCCTCGGCACTTCCGGCCCCCGGCGCGCCCTCTGCAGGCCGCCGGCGCAGTCGGCGTCCCCGCCCGAGCGCGACCAGCCAGCTGTCTCGGTCTCTCCTCGAGACCCAGCTCTCATCGGCCTCCTCTGAACTCTCATCTAGGCCTGCGTTTGGAGCTGCCCTGCGCCTCTCTGGACTGTCCGGTTTTAGCAAGCATCCTGCCAAGTCATTTTAGCCAGGACCCCCATCCTCCAATCCCCATCGCCCTCAAATTTGGCCGGGCTCCTCATTTTTCACTATTCCCAGGTAATGTCTGATCACCTACATTGCCTTCAGCAAGAATCCCGGTTGCTGAGTTTAGCCTAAGGTCCAGCCTCCCTCCCCCTAAGCCCCTCGCCCCCTCTACCCCTGGTGTTTCCTCTTACCAACTTTCCATCCAGTGACACCCTGCTCCTTGGCTATAAAGTCCCTTTCCCTTGTATTCGGAGTTTAGCCTGATGGCTGTCCCCTACTTCAAAACCCCACTGTCATTCCCACCCTTGAATGAGGCTGCCTTGAAGTTTTTAACAAGTGTCATGAGTAATTTTATATTTAACAATATTTTTTATAACAGTCCCCAAACATGGCTCCAATTGAGATCTGCTAGTTGGATTTTAATATTAGAGTGTCAATTCCTGGGGCCCCAAATCAGAAATTAGGGTGAGGGAGGAAGGCCTGCATTTTTTTTTAAAGCTCAGGATTCCCACTGGGACCAAGTTCAACTCTCACTACTGGGGTGTAGGCATCCCAGAAGGAGGGGTACAAGGTGAGACCTTCGGGTGCAGGAAAAGAAGTTAAAGCCTCTGTTTATATTTGTCATCTCTAAGTAGGTGTCACTAATACTTAACATTCAGGTTGGTGGCCAGGCGTTCCCTTTCCCAACAGGGCCTCCATGAAGCTTCCCAGGAGTCCTCCGTGCTCACGTCCAGCCTGATGCTGGGCACTGCAGTGAACCGTGGAATTGGCATCTAGCTTTAATTAGAATCACACTCAGTTTGGGGCCCCTGGGTGGGTCAGTTAAGCATCAGACTTCCGCTCAGGTCATGATCTCATGGCTCCATGAGTTCAAGCCCCACTTCAGGTGAGCCCCACCTCCCCCCTTCTCTCTCCCTCCCTTCCTCCCCCGCACTGCCCCCCTCTGCCCCTTGCTCACTTGTGCCTTCTCGCTCTCTCAAAAAAAAAAAATCACACTCGGGGATACCTGGGTGGCTCAGTCAGTTGGTTTCCGCTCGTTCATGATCTCACGGTTTTGTGGGGTCGAGCCCCAAGTAGGGTTCCGCACATGCTTGGGATCCTCTCTCTCCCTCTTGTTGTCCCCCTCCCCCACTCGTGCAGTCTCTGTCTCTCTCAAATAAACCTAAGAAATAAAATCACACTCAGCTTACAGCAGCCTAAAAGAGGCCAGCAAAGAAACCCCCAGCTTGCAGATGTGACAGATGTGACAAAAAACACAGAGAAAACTTCTCCTACCAGAGGGACATTCTCCTACCGCATTTGGAGGTAAAAGGAGGATTAGAACTAACTGGCTCCAAAATGTGAAATTATCAAGACACCGTTTGAAATGTGATTTGCTAATGTGATCAGCTAATGGAAGAATTACTGTCCGCGGGCTAGAGGTGCATAACTGGGGAGCTGGATCCGGAGCTTGGGAACCCCCTCCTACCCTGAAGATCTCTACTAACTGGTATGGACGCGCTTTTGGCTTCTCTAAAGCACTTGCACCTGCTGGGCTGGGAGAGTTGAACTCAATCAAGGCTTAAGGAAATAAACCAATGGTTTCAAGTCACAAAACCAACCGGTCCTGCACTGAGGTCACCTGGCTGCGGGCTGCACCGAGTTCTGTTTTTTTTTTGGGGGGGGAGGTGCACACTCAGGGCCAGGACCTGCCTCTCTGCTTCCTCGGAAGTACTGGAACCGCTGACCTCCAGTGTCCTCTGCTCCCAAGTCGTGAGCCAGAACAAACGCAAGCCTAATTGGGGAGACGTCATTTTGTTTCATGAATGAAAGAACACACTGATCAGTGGAACCACTCCCTCCAGATGGGCCCACCTCCTCCCAGCCAGCTGAAACCCGAGGCCTGAGGAGCGGAAAACCTGTGTCTGCCTAGGAAGCTGAAGGGAGTGAAGCCCCAGCAGGCAGAGAAAACCCGGGCGGTGGGATGGGGACGGGCCGGAGTGACCCGCTGAGGCGCTCTGAAAGCTGGGCTCCTGGGGCTGAGCGGAGGCGGCCGGCAGGCAGGTCCCCAGGACGGCGAGGGGGGTGCGGCCCGGGGCCAGAGCCGGGGTCCACACCCGCACCAGGTACTCAGGCTCCGGGACCTGCGGCTGCTGGCTTGATGGCTTCTCCACTATGCTGCCCTGGCCCAAAACCAGGGGCAGAGTCTTGCCGGGGTCCTGGGTAGGTGCCGAGGCGCTCTTGTGAAGAAGGGAAATTTCAAGTTTTGACATGTTTTACTGGAGGATGAGAGCCCATCCGGGAGAGGGTATGGGTGCGACAGGGAGGAATGGCAGGAGGAACGCAGGCTGATGTGCCCTCAGGCTGGCGTGAAGGCTGCGGACAGGCAGGCGGGGGGGGGGGGGGCAAGTTTCTATCTGCTAATTTCAAAAGGTTAATAGGTTTGGGTTTCTTGTTTGTAGATAGTGTTGTGGCATTGTGTTTTTAGGCGGTGCTGTGGAGCCCCACACAATCCTAAACCCAACTGAAAACACAAGGAAGGTGGGTGTCCTGCCCGGAACATAAAGGAAAAGAGAGAAGACACAGCTTTCCAAGTGTTGTTTCTTTGCAGTCCTTGAAGACATTCCGGCAGCAGTGGAGACAGGACCCCGAAGAGAGAATGTGTGTAAGGCAGAAAGTGAGACAGAACTCTGAAGTTAAACAGTCCATTCTCTCTCAAACGAAACACACGATGGCTTCTTAAATGTCCTACAGAATCGCTGGGGGACGTGCACAGTTTGCTGTTTCAGGGCGGAAGATGGGGAAGCTGTAAATGGAGAGTCTCGGTTTTCTTCATTTGAATCGAGGGTTACCAAGGTAGAAATAGGTAAACGTGTGTAAGTCACTACTTCTTAGTCTCTCAGACTAATGGAATGGAGCTACATAAATACCTACTCTTCCTCCAACTCCCAGCAGAACGGTGCCCAAGCGCTCGCACCAACTTCATGATTTTCCTCAGTAGGTACCTGGCCGGCCGCCTCGGCTGGAAAAGAAGCGACAGACTCGTTCTGGTGCTCTCACCATCCACCAGCAGAGGGCGCTGGCGCCTGGCTCTGGTCAACCTCAAGAAGGTGGAGTTGACAGAAGGACAGGGGCCCCAGTGGCAGAGGGACAGGGAAACCAAGTACAGAGGGCAGCCCGGGAGCAGAAGCCCGGGCCCCTGACATCCCGAGCCGCTCCAAGGAACGCTGTGACCTCCATGACCTGGGGCCAAAGAAACAGGACCGGCACCAGCCCCAGCTGGCCAGTGCAGTGCGAGACAGGGGACGTCCTCCCTCAAAGGCAAAGCAAACCTCCCCCAAGCCCAGCCCTGCGGCTGGCGACAGCGGGCGCGCAGGGGACGCTTGCGGCTGACCGGCTTCCTGCCGGAACATCTGCTTCTTCAAGGGCAAGGGGTGAAGAGAGACACTCTGCTGCACACACATGTTCCAGAAAGATACCAGGTGACTATGAGGGCATTCTTTTTTTAAAAAAACGATGAAAAATGAGCAAATATATACAAAATACTGTCAATCTCTCCTGGGCCAAGGGCGAGCAGCCATCACGATGCACCGCCTGCTTCCCAAGCTCTCCCTGCCCCTGGGCGTGCCTGTGGCCCGGCCCAGCCTGTGGGGCTCCGGGGCACTCGTGCCAGGGCTCCGTGCGGCTCCCGTCCAGTCACTGCAGCTGGACAGTGTCCCGAGCTTCCTGTCCCATCTCCCTGCACCCCCCCAGAATGATACTGCTTCCATGGGTGGCCCCATGATCAGCCCCATCAGAGTTTATGCGCCAGGAGGGTGGTCAGCTTGATCTTGCCATCCATGGAGGCGGTGAGGCACGTCCCGCAGTCCATGGCGGTGCTCCAGTCCACGGTGACCACAGGGGCTCGGTGGCCGCCCAGGCTCAAGCAGCTCTCCAGAACCTTCTCTTCCCCACCCAGCTGTAAGACAGGAGAGAAGAGGCATCAACAGGCACTGTTCTCAAGCACATCCACTTTATCGACCAAATTGCCTCGAGCCTGGCGGCTGCCACCCCAATCTGAGGACGTGCCCGGGCACACATGCCCACCTTTCCAGAAGATCCTGTTTAATTTCTTGGGCCAGGAACCCCCTTCCCTATCTCAGCTATAGTTACTCCTTTGTCTTAGATGGAAAACAAGGTCACGTGCTCTCCAAGACCAGAGCATCTTCTCTGCCCCCTTTAACTGGCACCCACCCCAACTCTCTTCCTACGCGGTTTCCTCTCCCCAGCGTTCGATCATGGGTCTGCTGCTTTGCTTCCCATTTGCTTCCCGCAGGAACGCGAGCCGCAGCACCCAGCACGGTGCTGGCACACGCAGTCCCCTGAGGACACACGAGCGGGGCTCCCCCTCACCCACCACGCCCATAGCTGTGAAGAGTTAGCAGGTTACAAGGAAGGAGAAGCCAGGAGCACACGAACAATGATCAATCCAGCTACGGATAACACCCATGAGAGGGAGACAGAAGTCTCTGGTCTTCGTGGAGAATACATCTTTAAAAATCATAAATTGCTTAAATATCATAAAAATAGGATCCAAAGTTCATTATATTCCCTAAGTAATTAGACCCCCCCCCATAACTGGCATTTCAAAAATTATACAGAGGGAGATCTTCAGACCCTTTAACTGGTTATAGAGCAAGTCTCACTGCAAATCAACAGTCCACAGTGACCACAGAGGCTTGGTAGCCACGCAGGCTCAGGCAGAAATCCAGAACTTTCTCATCCCCACCCAGCTGCAGAGGACAGGAGAGGAGGAGGCATTTGGGACAAATGACAAAGGCTGATCAGGACAAATAACAAGTGACAAAGGCTCATGATTAAAAATAAACACACAACACACATAAAATCACACAGAGAGCAAAGTATAACCTAACTGAAACTCGATTTTTAAATAATAAAATACAATTAGGCTTGCAAACAAAAAGGTGTATTTTTATAGCATCTTCCAATAGCAATTACAAAAACTGTATACAGAGCTAATTTTAAGAAGGCCAAGAACCACTGGATGCATCATCATCTGTGGAAAAGAGGAGCTTCACTGATGGTAAACCCAGATTTCCCAGTGCCCCGCTCCAGGCCAACAGTCTAGAAGGTTCCTAACGCTACACCTTGGGACTCCTCCTTATACCCGGCCCCATTCGAGTGCTCTCACATGGCTTTACCTCTGTGAGGCCCCAAGGCCTTCCTCCTTCCTTGTCTTCTCCTCTGGCCTCAAATCCACAGACTGCCCGCCACAACCCGCCAGGGGCCTTCCCTGAAGACTCAGCCCCCATGCAGCGCCCCCCCATTCAGAACCCCGGACACTGCCCTGTCCCTGGTGTTGGTGTTTCGAGTGGGAGCCCTAGGAGAGCAGGAACCACTCCCTCCCCCGAGGGCACGCCACGGCGCCCAGACCGACACCTGCACACCATTCCCTTCCACGCCACATGCCATCCGCTGACCGATAAGCCATGGTACTGAGGGCACGGAGAGCCCCAGGCAGAGAACATTCCACCTGTGACTCTATTCCTACAGTCTAAATACCACCATTAGGCAAAGACTTAACAGTGAGGCTCAGAATTGGTTTGTGTGGTTACCAAAACCATATGCTTAGACTACAACTCAAACCCTCATCACTAGTCTGGTTGATATTAATAGAAGGGGGTTAGAGTTTCATATAATTATATTTTTAAAAGTACATGAACCAGAGAAGCTCAAACATGAGAATTAAAATAACCGTATGAACTGAGGGACAAAACCAAAGTGGACAACTCCCAACATGCTGTGATAAGTCACACCCCCGGACTTCTGTAGGCCATGGGACTGTAATGTCCACGACCCATGGGACCCCCCAGTAAACTAACAAATTGATACCAGACTAGAGGAACTAAAGCAGACCACAGAAGCTCTTGCCTGCATGAGGCGTGTCCCCCCAACCCAACACTCTTTCCAACCCTTCTCCCTATTTCTTCATGTTTTCTACAATAGGTATTATTCCCAAGGAACAAAAGCAGAAAGGGGCCAGAATCTGCAAAATGACACGCAAAGAAAAAGACGGCGTGCCATACGCCGTCCCCACCCCTGAGCTGAGGATGGGCCCTCCTGGCGGGCTGGCAGCAAAGAGGCCCCAGGAGCTTTCCATCACCACCCAGGGCAGGGAGATGGACCATGTTCAGCCTGGCCCACACCCCCAGGGGGGCACCTCCCTGCCCACAGAGAGCCCCTATGATAGTCCCCCCTCCCCCCTACCTACCTTGTAGATGACGCCCCCTGTGGCTGAACACGTCAGCATGTAATTTCCCTCCGAGTCAAAAGCGAAGAGCCGGCCCCGGGGAACTTGAACCTGCTTGTAGCCGCTGTAACCTGACAGCACAAAGGGGCCCGTGGCGTCGGCAGGGAGGCTGTACTCAGACACCTTGAGGCCACTCTTGTGGATGTTCCACTGGATGAACTGCAACCACAAAGCACGACCTGAGCGCTCTTCCAGCAGGAGCCCGCCATGGCTCCCCAGCACCCAGGCCCAGGAGCAGGAGCAGGGTGGGTCCCAGAGCAGGGGCGGGGTGGGTCTCCAGCCCACCAGGAAAGGTGGTGGGATGACCCCTCAGTCCATCTCTTCCCAACACACTTAAACAGTCTTTCAGAGAGGAACATCTAGAAAGAGTCTGCAACTTCACATCAGAGCCTGAGCGCTCCCTGTGGCCTGCCTCCAGGAGAGGAAAAGGGTAGGCAGCTGCCTTTGTCCGGATTCCGGCGTCTGAGGCAGGGGAATGCTCCGAGCAATCATAACTATTACTGCTGCCGTGGCTCCTAGGGCTAGAACCCAACCAGATTTTTCTGACTTAGAAAAAAAAGAGAGGACAGATGCCAAGTATCTTCCCAATGTCTCAGCAGTGTAACCAACCGAACATGAGCAGTACTGTTATCAACTAGCTTCACGCACTGTAGTGTATATAATCCTGTAGCCTACACCACGGACAGGCCGTCTGATCACCTCTTAAACGGAGAATCCTACTCAAATAGGAAGTCAAGCTTTAATTTAAAAATCCCTTCCCATAGCTTTCAAATGAAGAATTTATTTTGTGATTACAGTTTTCAGTGAATACTACAGGTGCATAGTATAAAATCCAAAGGTACGGGGCGGGGGGTACACCGGAAAACCAAGTCTTCCTCCGGCTCTGCCTTCCACCTCCCACCCCCAGCTCCCTTTCCACAGATCCTTCCAGAAAGAATATACAAGAGGGCACTTATCTTTACTTTTATCCCCAGCTTATTTTACATTTCTTGACTCCACTCAGGCCTATCCACACTGCCTCATGATGCTGGGACTGCCCGACCACCAAGGTCACCGCAGCACAGCCCGGGCCCTAATCTGGACCCCGATAATGCACCTATCGTGGGAAGAGTCACTTCTGCTACAAGGAGGGAGGCTGGGTTCTCCCCTTTCATAATCGCCAGCTCCCACTAAACTTGTTCAAACCTCACAATGGTTCCAAGAGACTGGTTACTACTATGCCCCCATTACACAGAGGACCCGGGGAGGCAGAGAGGGGCCCATGGTCACAGTGCCAGTAAAGAGCACGGTCAGGCTTCATCTCAGCCTGTCGCGCTTCCCGGGCGCTCTCTGCAACCGCAGACGCCTAAGGCGGGGGAGGGAAGTTCCCGACCCAGACCCGGCTCCCGCCTACCTACCTTGCCGTCCTCGCCAATACTGTACACGGTGTTCTCGTCGTAACTGAACTCCACGGAGTAGACCTCCCCGCAGTGGGCCTTCCAGCTCATGGCGCACTAGTGCTGCTGCATATCTGGGGCAGTGAGGTGCCGCTAAGACTCCAACCCCGGGCCCCGGGGAGGCTTCCGCCCGTGACAAAAGGGCAGAGGCTGCTCTGGAGGCCGAGGGCCTCCTGGAACCTACGGGTGCCTCGGGGCTGAGCCCTGCCAAAGAGGTCTTTCAGTTTGCTAGCTCTCTCCACCAGGGCATTAACCGTCTGTTTAACAAATGTAAAATAGCAGCTTTTTATCCTGGGTCAGAAATGAGGTTTAGGAATCCCTGAGCGGAAGCTGAGCTCCTCTGGGGAGACCACACGTCCTGAGGGGGACACACAAATCCTTCCCAGGAGGCCTCCCAGGGCTTCCTGGGGAACTTCCCACCAGGGCGCCTGGGGGGTCTGCTAGACAAAGTCCCTAGTCCCCCTCCCAGGCTCCCTGACCCAGAGGCTTGGGCTCTTCAAGCAGCAACGCACACGCTCCACCGGCTTTACGAGGCAAGAGCACTCGCTGCGCCAAGCAGACAGCACGGCCTCACTCTCGCGTGTCCGCCGGGAGCTCACTCGGGCCGCAGGGCTCAGAGCAAACAGTCGGGGCTCAAGGACTGCTGAGCCCAGGCACCCCGGGCCCACCGACGCTGACCACGTGCAAGGTGACCGGTTACGGAGGTTTTGAAAAGAGCAGACCCAGACCAAAGGTAAGCTCTACCGCAGGCACCTTGAATTGGGCTTCTGCAGTCGCTTCTGGTCCAGCCGCCAAAAATCCAACTCCCTTTTCTGAGACACTGAAGGAGGGGACCAGGCTGCCCTGAGCGCACCCGCTTACCAAACAGGCGGATGACGCCATCGGCCGCGCCCGTGACCAGCAGGTTCCCGTTGTGATTGAAGGCTGTGCAGTTGATGGCAATGGGCTCGGGGTCCAGGGAGAACTGGAGCTAGTTACAAACACAAAGACAAAAAACTACTAACTAAATTTGAAATTGTAAAAGAACAACAACCGAAATTCAAGACGGGTTCTGTCTGCAGGAGAAGGGGCCCGCACCTGGAGAGCGTGCCCAAGGGCAGAAAAAGTGCTGAAGGTTCCGCTTCAACTGTGACAACAGAGAGGTGTTCATGCTATAGCTTCCCTGCTCATTACTCTGCATACCTTTGACTGCACAATTCTTCCCTATGTACTATTTCATTAAAACTTTGAAGATAACAAATGAACAAAATTACGGTAAGAGACTTTAAGGAAAAGAGCAAGGTTAAGAAGAATCTAATTAAGCTGTAAAAGGGAAAGCATCTAAGAGGCACTGGAGGACAGATGTCTGCCAGACTGAGTGGGGAAAGAACTCTCTAGAGAGGGGACAGCACGTGGAGGAAGGCCCGCGGCCACAGGACACTCCTGAGGCGGGAGAGGGCAGACGATGCAGGGCCCTGGGGCAGCGTGGGTGGGAATTCTGGAAGAGCAGAGCGGTGTGCCGTGCCACAGGGTCTCGCTCTCTCTGGTGGGAGGGTCAGGGGTGTGAGTCTAGGCTGTGTGCCCACAAGTGCAGAGCTGTGGGCAGACACACTCTGCAGGGGAGCTGACCGTGTGCTCATGGGCTGACTATGTGAGGTGAGGGAGAAGGACGGCTCCAGAGAGGCACCCAGTTTCTAAGTGGAGCACAGCGGCGAGACGAGGAAGACCGGGCAGGAGAGCAGGCGTGGCACGCATGGCGGTCAAGAACTCAGGTGTGGCCTGAAACGTGAGCTCCAGGGAGACTCCCTGATGGGAACAGACCCCATTCCTGCAGGTAGATGCCAGGAGGTACGAACTGGACCCTTGGAACACAGCTTGTCTATAGAACAGGGACCATTCCCAGGGTCCAGTGACATCAGGAAACCATTCATTTAAGGCAAGGGCCACGCCATGTTTGCATCCCAAAACTAATTTCAATGAGAAACACTCCTGCCTTTTAAATGTGTGAGTTTACACCTCATTTCTCTCTCTAGGAGCTTAGGGTCACGGCTGCAGCAATCGGCCGCTGGAGGTGGGAACTGAGGAAGGTGGGCCTGAGGAAGGTGGGCCACGTGGTCCCATAGCCAGCTTTCATGTGGCTGTCACTTCTCAAGAGCATGCATGTGTCCTCACCTCTTCCAGCTACTGCTGTCATTTTTATGCAATACTAAGCTAACATGGAGTCAGAAAGAGAGTCCACGTCTGTCTCCTAAAAACTAAGCCACTTGAATGTCTAATTCTAAGTGAAAGAAGGCAATGAGAAAATGCCATAAGATCCCAGCCACACGGTAACACAGAAAACGCAAAGCTACGGAGACAGCATAAAGGTCCGCGGTTGTCAGGGTTTGGGGGGATGTGAGAGGATGAATGGGGGGTGCACAGAGGATTTTAGGCAGTGAAAACAGCCTGTGTGACACTGTAGTGGGGGGTACCTGTCCTTATACATCTGTCCAAACCTCGAGAACGTACAACACCCAAGACTGAGCCCAGAGATAAATTATGAACTTTAGGAGATTCCACGGTCACTGCAGATGCCCTGGTGGGGATGCAGTAGGGGCGCCTGTGTCGACGTGGGGGCAGGGGGCATATGGGAGATCTCTGTACCTTCCTCCCAATTTTGTTGTAAACCACAACTGCTTGAAAAATTTTTTAAGCCTATCAATATACACAAAATTAAACAAATTTTTATAAACCACAAGGGCCCTCTGATAGGCTGCATGTGACCTTCAAGTTGGGGGCACAATTCTGAATGACTTCAGTCGCTAGCAAGCTGTCTAACCAGAGTGTTACTACTTTTCAACGCTTGCTCTTTGAAACGGCCTCACAAATCAAAATCAGAGTAGACAAAGCAAAGAGAAGAGGTGGCTCATCAGGAAGACAGGGGAGTGAATGCAGAGCGCTACCCCAGAGTGTGACCCCAGACAGACCCACAGGGAGACCCATGGGGCGCTACCCCAGAGTGTGACCCCAGACAGACCCACAGGGACGCCCACAGGGGCACAGCCTGCACCTGCTGCTTCATGGTTTTCGTGTCCCACAGCAGCAGCTTGCCGGGAACCTGGTTAGCGCCCTTGCTGCCGATGTCTGGAGCCGAGAAGTCCACCTGGGAAGCGAGGCTTGGAGCCGCGGCCGAACAGACAAAAGAGGCCCCGTTGGGGCTGCACGCGAGAGACAGGATCCTGCAATACACGCGGGCCTGGGTCAGCACCCCAGCCACCCCCAGGGGCTGGGCCCGCCACAGAACCAGGCCCTGCAGAGCTTGGCGGGGGTGGGCAGCAGCCTCCCGCTCACCTGGGCATGTCGTCGTTGATGTTGATCTCACAGAGATTCTTCTTGGCTTCTGTGTCATAAAGACGCACTGTCCCCACACCACTGCCCAGCAGGAGCTAGAACGAGAAAGGGCGGGAGGCGCGAAGCATAGCATGGGGGTCAGGAAGGACCACTGTGGGGTCCTCACTCCTGTGAGGGGTGAGTCTGGGCAGGCTGCAGGGGTGAGGCCCGCTTCCACACGCCTCCATGCGGGTGATTATCTGGCTAAAATGGGCCTCATTTAAAAATTACATGAAGACCGGAGCACTCGGGTGGCTCAGTCAGTTAGGTTCGACTTTGGCTCAGGTTATGATTTTGTGGTCCGTGCGTTCGAGCCCTGCATCAGGCTCTGTGCTGACAGCTCAGAGCCTGGAGCCTGCTTTGGATTCTGCGTCTCCCTCTCTCTTTGCCCCTCCCCTGCTTGCTCTCTCTCTCTCCCTCTCTCTCAAAAATTAATAATGATTAAAAAAATTTTTTTTAATTACCTGAAGACCTTAGAGGTGACCTTGAACAGAAAGAAAACTACAGAAGGCATCTATGAACTGGGAGAGAGGGGTCACCTCAGATATACCCGGAAAGGTTCCGGCTGATTAAAGGAGACCCTCTGTTCTTAATTCCTTGTCAGTGTTAAGTGTCAGCCACTCTCATCCTTCCTTCTCTGCTCATCTACCCACCACCACCGGCTGCCTGCCGGGCCTGGGTGAGGCCCCGTTTGCTTGTTCTGGGCACAGCTCTGGCTCAGGGCCTTTAAAGTTCTCTAGAAAAAATAGAAGAGGCTATCCTTGCCTTCAGGCATTTGTGATTTTTTTGTAAAAAAGCTTCAAAGATAATAACGAGTACTGCCAGGAGACAGAACCAGAAGCAGGTCTGAGGGTGTCCCCCCAAGAACATTACCTATTTTCCGATCTCAAATTCACACTGGCAGATGAACACTTGTAGAGGCTAAGCCCTGAGAGCCTACTAGCATAAGGATAATCCCTGCAGGCTGTCAAAAATTATTTAAAAAACCAATGAGGTCTGCCCGTTGGGCTGCCTTCCATCATCACCTCCAAACAGAATACAAGGAAAGAAAACACTCTAAATCAACTTGACCGCCTCAACTACAAATCCTCTGTCAAATATTAAAGTCCAGAAGGAAAAAGAGCACTGTGCTAACAGCACTGTAGTAGACATGTGGGGACCCCAAACAGGACACCATCCCCCCCAGCTTAAGCCACTTCCCAGGGCGGGTCGTGGCAGGAAGAGGGGCAGCTGGGAACATCTGTGCTGGGCTGTCAGAGAGGGGACAGACGACAGGAGCTGACGGGGGAGACACAGGCCCCGCCTGACAGGAGCGTCCCGCAGGCCCACTACCATCTGATTTCCTTTCTTGCTAATCCGACAGCCTCCCCACCACCGCCAAACAGGAGCCCTGCTCGGACAGTCCGGAGGTGTCCCCCGCCCCCCGACTCCCAGGAAGAGAGAAGGCAGGGGTCTGGCCTGGCTGCCTCAGCTCCAGGGGTGCCTGAGGCTGGCGGCGGCGGCCTTGGGAACTCCTCACTTAGACCGCGATGAGGCACGCATTGCTCACCACTCACCAGCCTGTCCCGCTTGGTGGCCCACTCCAGAGAGAGCAGTGGCGACTTGGAAATGGAGGACGCTTTGGTCTGCATGATGGGATTGAAGGACCACACTTTGATGACCCCGTCCACGTCTAAGCTGGCGACCCTCCGCCCCGAGCAGTCCACTCTGAGATGGAAGAGAGAAGGAAGCTGTGACGGTCCTTGCCTCAGCCCACCGTCGTCCTCCGCTAGCGCCCAGATGACGGCTTTGCTGACTTCTCAACTGTTTCTCAAACTGCCTACGTGCCAAGGATGGGGGTGGACTACTTCTAGAAGTATTCAAGAACTACTTACGAAGGACCTATCACGTGCTGAGCCCTGTGGTACGCGACGGGGACAGAATGGCGGGGAAGCACGCACAGCCCCGTCCCCGGGCACTGGGGTGCCTCCTGCAGGCCCCTCCAGAGCCATCGGCGCCGGGGCAGGGAGGCCACCCACTCTCTGAAAACTACCCTCTGGGAGGGCTTCTCATAAAGGTCAAGCTTTTACCACATGGGACTAAAACCTTGTACGTGGTAAACATCTACTAAAAGTGACAACGTAAAGCAAATTAAAATGAAGTCGTAGGGAGTTCAAATAAAAGGTAACCTGCTCCTGAGACTCGGAGTCCCGCAGCTGGAAAGGACAGAGAGGCTGCCCAGACCCATGGCAGCTGTCCGGCCCTCTGGAGGGACGGCTACGGTCCTTCAGGGACCATCCCAGCACGCATGCCTGCTGTCTGCCACCGCTCCACACACACAGCCTCATAACCCAGGCCTCCCAGGGAGACGGGCCCCCGCCCCAGCCGGCACTCTCCCGCCGGGGCCTCGCCCCCAGACCCACAGCCACCTGCAGTGCATGATGGAGGAGTGGTGCTCCCCGTACTCCTCCTGCCCCAGCACAATGAACGGCTGCTCGGGACGGACCGCTCCCCCCTCGGCACTTGCTGCGGAAGCCCGCGTCCGCGTGTCCGGCACCTCCACGGGGGGCTCTGGGCAGGGCTCGGCCTCCGGGCCACTAGCTTCAGGCTTCTTCTCTGCACTCTGTGACAGGCAAAGTGGGGACAAGTCAGCTGTGAAGGGTAGCACTGGGCCCAGCCGTTCACGCTGGGGGACACACCGCAGGACATCTAGGATGCTGAGCCCAGCATGTTGGGGGCCTCTTAGTGGGTACGGGGTCTAGGAGAAAGAGCCTTGAATGCAAAGAGCAGCACCCAACTTGCCCCAGGAGAGGCAGGTTCCTGCTCTGCTGACGGCTCCTGTCTAGAGACCCTGCTGGTGGGGGTAGTGGGCCAGGGGCACCCTGTCCCCGTCACAGCTGACAGGACTCAGGACAGGCTGCCATATAAATTAGTGAGCACCTGCTCAATGCCAGGCACTGTGTGGCCACATTTGACTCTCATTTAATCCTTCATGAGACCATCTGAAATCCTACGATTGACCCCATTTAATAACTGTGGAAACTAAAGACTGGAAGCAGAAGTTAAACAACTTGCCCAAGGCCAAGAGCTGGCAAGGGGCAGGACTGGGATGTGAAGCCAGATCAGAGGCAAGCCTAGCCCCTCACCAACACCACCCCCAAACCACCAGCACCTCCTCCTGGCAGGCAAGGGGGCACCAAGAGACTGAGGCGACTGGCCAGGCATCAGATAGAGACCCCAGGACAGCAAAGGGGCCGGAATGAGGCCGGGCACCAGAAGGTCTTGACACACCCTGCCACCTGGCACACCCGCAGCTGCCCTGGGCTCTGCCCCCCGGGACCCCTGAATGCTGACCACCATGCCTGCTACCCATTCACCCACACATAACGCAGGCCAGGTGGCATGAGCCAGGGCCATCTCCCAGCCCCATGGCTCCCGAGGCTCCTCTAAGTGCTCCTCAGGGTCGCAGAAACCACAGTTCTACAGCACAAAAGTAACAGAGGAAGAGAGAGCTCTGAGCTCAGACAGGGGCCTTCGGGGGGTGGCTGAGCTCAGGTGTGTCTTTAATCCTGCAGTGTCAGAACAGGACAGGGTGAGATCAGAGCCTCAAGGGTCTATGCCACCAAACCGGAACCAGCACACGGCTGGTAACCGGCACTGATACTTTTAAAGGTGGTCCCAAGGAGGGGATAAATGGTCAACGGGATGACTTTGCCAGTAAACCCCTTGGACTCTTCCTTTCAGTCTGGAGTATGGACAGAAAGAGAAGCAGCTTTACTACCATGAAGAGGAGACTCCGGCCCATTTCCAGGGGCGAGGGGAGTCCCGGGGCCCCGTGTGGCAGCGGCCCGGGCTACACTACGACACCGGGTGTCAGCACAGTGTCCAGGGGTCCACAAGGGATGTGGGAGAAAGGGAAGCTGTGGAGGGGCAAGGCTGGGTGATTCTGGCTTGAGCCAAGGGAAACAGGTCTCTCCTGCCAAGCCTCCAAGAGCCTCTGACATGCTCGAAGTATCGGGTAGAGATCAAGAGAGATACAAGCAGGCTGTGCACCCCCCTTCTTCCATGGCCCCCCACGGTAGGCACGCAGATGTCCCTGCAGGCACTCATGTGATGCCAAGACCAAGCCATACCTGCAAAGTCATAGACAGAAGCTCCTTCCTTTCTTTGCCGTGATCCTGCAGGCGCCGCTGCCGGTGCTGTGACCAGCTGGACTCCCCAGAGGCCAGCCCGCTGAAGAGGCTCTTCCCGTCTTTGGGCCCACACGCCGGGTCCCTTCCCTTTGGCGTCTACAGGGCGACAGGACGGGATGTAACAAGTCGCTTGCTGCCTGTGTGCCCAGGCCACGGGGCACCTCAGCCGGTAGGGGTGAGGGTTGGAGGGGCGGGGGAGGGGAGCAGAAGCCAGGGAGCGGCTCCTTCGCCACACAGCTCCCAGGAAAGGGTCCTCCCTGGCCAGAATGCTACGATGTCAGCCTATGGGCCAAGTCAAGAGTGGAACACGAGCAGTCTGGATCCCCTCCTTTCCGTTCTCCCTGTTATAGGGGGGTAAGTCACCAGCCTCCTCAGCCTCACCTGGAGACAGACACACACAGTTCCTTCCTCTAGTCAGAACAATTAACCTTAGTGAAGGGAGAGGAGACCAGCGCTTCCTGAGCTGTCAGAACAGAGCCCAACGCCGGGCTTGAACTCACAGACCACGAGATCATGACCTGAGCCAAAGTCAGACGCTTAACCGACTGAGCCACCCAGGCGCCCCTCTAGAGCCTTTTTAGAAGGAGCTTTTGTCACCACCTCACTTTTCCAGATTATCTGGGCTTTTCCCAACCTTATTCCCACAAACTGTGATGGTCAACACTGCTCTTCCCTCTGCCTTATTTACACTCATATCAAAGGGATATGAATGCAAACAGCCACTCAAGTTTCAGACCAACCCCTGGACAAGTTATTTGCACACAAGACGTAAATCAAGAGTATAAATTCAACCAAAGTCTACTTGTTGCTTTCTACTTCTATTTACTTTTTTTTTTTTTTTAAGTAGGCTTCATGCCCAACGTGGAGCCCAACATGGACCTTAAACTCACAACCATGAGATCAAGACCTGAGCTGAGATCAGATGCTTAGCCAACTAAGCCACCCAGGTACCCCATTTGTTATTTTTTATGTTAACACTAACCAACTTAAAATGATTAACACAGGGGCGCCTGGGTGGCTCAGTCAGTTAAGTGTCCGACTCTTGGTTTCGGTTCAGGTCACGATCTCATGGTTCCGTGAGTTCAAGCCCCCGTCAGGCTCTGCACTGGCAGCATGGAGCCTGCTTGGGATTCTCTATCTCCCTTCTCTCTGCCCCTCTTCCTCTCGCACCGTCTCTGTTTCTCTCAAAATAAATAAACTTAAATTTTTCCTTAAAATAGTAAATTAATTAAATGATAACACAGACTCCTTGGGACCCTGGAGCCATCAGAAGAGTTAAAAAGAAAATTTTAAAGGACTATTAGTTCATGTGGAGCCTAATTGAGGCTGACCTTCAGGGTATCTGTTATTTCTGTTTTTCTGACTGAGGTGATCTCCAGGGTATTCACTTCTGCTTGTAACAGATCTTTTTTCTAGGGAAAAGTATTTGACTCTCCACATTCTGGCTTATTTTGGGAGAAGTAGGGGTTTTAGTCAAAATAAAACAAATAACCTAAGAAAAAAACCAATGATAACAATTATAGCACCAATATGTGTTATTCATTGAGTTTTTACCACATGCAAGGCACCATGCTAATAAGAAATAAGAGGCTGGGGCACCTGGGTGGCTCAGTCAAGCATCCAACTTCAGCTCAGGTCATGATCTCATAGTTGTGGGTTCACGCCCCGCGTCAGGCTCTATGCCCACAGCTTAGAGCCTGGAGCCTGCTTCGGATTCTGCGTCTCCCTCTCTCTCTGCCTTTCCCCCCACTCACATTTGCTCTCTCTTTCTCTCAAGAATAAGTATGTTTGAAAAATTAAAAACAAATAAAAAATAAAAAGGCTCAAGATTATGAATCTTAAGGGTGGGGATTACTGAATTCATTTGCTACAACCTCAGTCGACTTTATCACTTTTGTCACGAAAAAGGGCCAGAAGATGCCAACTTCTTTCCTGCTGATTTATTATCTTGCTCAAAGGTCCTTGAGTTTCCAACAATTTCTGTTAAGAATTTCTGGTTGCCTGGTAATCATTTCCAAATACCTCAATATTTAACATTAGCTGCCTTAGTCATTAGATTGGCCCAAAACAAGCACGGGTATTGTGTTCATTTTTGTCTCCAGACAGGTGGTTGTATATTGCATACATTTTCTTTGTATTGTCCAAACATACAGTTGCTTGCAGGTGTTTACAGCATAAGGCCTGACTCACCTTGTGCTCTATCAAAATTACATAAACATTAAAAAAAAAACCTAAGAACTTTACAAATGTCCCCTTAAAATAGGGATGACAACATTATTTTAACACAGGGAACTGAGGCTTAAGTCAACGTACTGCTCACATAGGGAAAACTGGACAGAGGTGGAATTCATGCCCAAATCTGACAGCAAACCCCATGCTCTGAGAAACCCAGTGGAAGCAATAACACGAAAACACACACACACACACACACACACAACGTGACAGTAAATAAAAAAGAAGAAATGTAATTCCAGAGCTAACATAACAAAGACAAGGCCCTTCTCACAGTACGTCTGGCCATTTCTGAGCAGTAACCCACGGTTCAGGGATCACTGAAGAGGTACTACAGCTTAGAAAGTAGAAGAAGACTTCTCTTACCGGCTCAGAAATAAGAGGTGGTCAAGATAACTGATAACAAAGAGGTCCTGAAACCACAGCATGCCTCACATGGTACGGGGGGGGAGCTGTACTCACTCCCTGGGATGTGGCCCAAGGGTGCCAGGCCTCATTACACAAAGCCATTGATTCCTCCCCATATGTCTGATCAACAGGGCAAATCAGACTGAAGAATCCCGGAGGCGGGGCTATACTTGCATCAGACAAAACAGACTTTAAACAAACGACGGTAACAAGAGACAAAGAAGGTCATAACATAATGATAAAAGGGTCCATCCACTAAGAGGACATGACACTTCTAAATATTTATGCATTGGCAGAGGAGCACCTAAATATATAAAGCAACCAGGGAGAAACAGGAAGCAATGCAATAATAGTTAGGGACTTCAATGCCCACCTTTCCACAATAGAGATCTCATCCAGACAGAAAATCAATAAGGAAACACTGCACTTGAACCATACATTAGACCAGATGGACTTAAAAGACCTCCACAGAACATTCCATCCAACAGAAGCAGAATATACATTATTCTCAACACATGGAACATTTCCAGGAATAGATCATACGTTGGGCCACAAAACAAGTCTTAACAAATATAAGAAGATTGAAATCATATCAGGCATCACAATAGTATCAAACGACAAATCAATTACAAGAGGGAAATTTAAAAATTCACAAATATGTGATGAGTAAACATGTTCCTGAACAATCAATGGATCAAAGAATAAATCAAAAGAGAAATTTAAAAAAATATCTTGAGAAAAATCAAAATGGAAACACAACATATCAAATCTTATGAGATGCAGCCAAAGTAGTTCTAAGAGGGAAGTTCATAGCAATAAATACCTACATTAAGAAAAAAGAAAGCTCACAAATGAACAGCCTCCTCAAGGAAGTAGAAAAACAAATGAAACCCAAATTTAGAAAAAGGAAATAATGAAGATCAGAATGAAAATTAATGACAAAGAGACTAAAAAGACAGCATAAACGATCAATAAGTAGCCAGTTCTCAAAAAGATAAAACAGACATTTATCAAGAGAAAAAGAGGGCTCAAATTAGAAAAGAACTCCAAAATATATCTCTAAAAGTTCTGCCATTTTGATAGAAAGACTAAAAAATCAGCAGTAGAGGCCATGTTTTCTGAATAAGAGGTGGCTTTGGCAAGCCTACAGCTAGCTATGTAAACAGTGGGAGGAGAAGGAAGACCGATTTCCCAGGTTGGCAGCTATTTTCCAAAATAATGGGATCCAGGCAAGTGAGGAAGTCTGGAACAACGATTATGCAGTTTTGACAGATTTATCAACCTGACCAAGAGATCGTTACACCAGATATTTCAGAAGAAAAGGGAAGAGAATCCACATAACACTGCATTCATGCCCTGGAAGTACACAGACCCCAGGGGACCCAGCCTGGAGACGAAGGGGGGAAATGCCACAGAGGGCAGGCAGGTACTCGGCGGCACTCTTTTTCTTTCCTTACTCACCCACTATACAGGAGAAATGGCGGCTTTTCCCTTTTCAGTGCTAAGTCTTAAGAGTGTTCGGTTGGCCCACACTGATAGAATAGAGAAGCTTGGGACGGACTTCAAATCCCCCCAGCTGACACAAGAGCCACATGTAGTGCTTCCCCAGCAAGGACAGGAAATACAACACTAAGAAGTGCAAAGGCAGGGCTTGCCAGGTCAAGATGGCAAGGAAATGGTCCAGCAGATCATTAGGTAAGGGCTGGACCATACTCCAAAATGAACGTTCAAACAGGTGTTAACAAAAGGCACTACAATGAACTAACAAGAAGCGTCTTTTTCATGATGGGTAGTTTACAGCCGGAGAGCTACGGACCTACATGTGACCTATCAGATCCTGCTTCAGGAGACCTTCCCCTTCAACTGTATCTCAGTTGTTTACTAAAGAAGGGTGAACAACACCAACAGAAAACAACAGGCTATAAAAGCTGATGAATGCAGCTCTCCACAAAGCGCTTTAGTAAGTAGGTAAAGGTAAACTTGTGACTCGCTACACATGTACATAATTCGAATAAATGTTTACGGTGAGAATACTGATAATCCACAGCTTTAAGAGCAGACCGCCTAAAAGTTTCAACTACCAGGTTCATATAAGTTTCCAAATGGCCCAAATCTGTCCTCTACCTGTCTCCCGCAGTTCAGAAGAAATATTTTAACCTATGTTTTATCATTTCACCTTTGCATTTCTCTCTGGAGAAAGACAGAATTTTCACTGGCCTGAATAGTGTTTACCAGGCAGTCATCCACATGGGGCAGGAAACAAGTTCCAGTAATCTGGTCTCACTTGACGTAAAATAAAGCCACCCAGACGACAGGCCCTCATAACACATAAAATTATAGAACGAGTGTCATGAAAGAGGCCCCCTTTTCCTCCATCCCCATACGATCCGCAGAGAGAGCCCCACGGGCAGCTGTCACGGACAGCTCAGTAGCTAGGAAGTAATTTCACACTAACAAGAGCCACAAACACAGAAGTTTGCTTTCTTTACATTACAGCCAATGAGAGGTTATCTGTGTAATAACCGCAGTCCCAAGGCTTCCTGAGTGGGTGTGGAAGGAGTGAAATTACATGGCTGGAGGGAAGGACAGGGTCAAAGCACAGGCTGCTCGAGCCAGCACGCAGGGGCCCTCAGGCGCTGTTGTAACAGAGACCCCAGAAGTGCTAGGAGCTGTGGTCTCAGAGTTACATCCGCTTGTTTCTTAAATTTTGCCTCCAGATTCATAAAAGCACAAGGGTGCATCACCATGTATTTTATCATCTATAATGCCATGAACGTTTCAGCCACAGCAGTTACAACGACCCACCACAAGTGAGCAACATGCTGATGGGACTGAAACTTACAATGTTACATGCTAAATAATATTTAAAATAGGAAAGCCTGATCATTTTATTTATTGCTAATTTAATAACACAGCTAACGTCTTTTGTTTGCTTATTCGCTAGTAGTAAACAAGAAAGAGGGCTCTGGTGTGGCAAGAGTGAGAAAAAGACTACGTGCTTCAAATGTGCTGACAAAGCAACGTGGCTCATTAAAAAAACCAATGTCGTTTTCTACTAAGTTAAAAGCTGTGCATCATTAAAATCACAAGAAGCAATCACACAACTAACTGCATTTGCTATTGGGAAGAGAGCGCACAATCTTGAATTGTACACTCAAATCTGGCATATCAACGGTCACAGAAGAATTGAAAAACAAGAATGTCTCACAGAGAACAAGAAGCAGGATGGTGAGGGGTCTAGAAATCACACCACGTGGGAAGAGTGGAAGGGAGAGAGAAGAACGAACAGTGAGTGCTTAGCATCGAAAGACAGGAAGTGTCCTAATAAGAATCTTTATTCTATTTAGCTCGAAGGGCAAAGCTAAGATCGGCAAGTAATAATTATACAGAGGTTTCTACAAACAGCTTTCTAACAGGCAAACATCCCCACGTGGACAAGTAGCGGGCTTCACATCACAGGAAGCAATCAATCAGACGTGCCAGTCTCCACAACTGGAAGAGGGGCCAAATGGCCTTTAAGCTTCCTCTAACTCTAAAACTCTGTGATTTTCTTGAACCTCAAAGTTCAAGTTACTTTCTGAATCGAAACATTAATGCTGAGTCTAGTTAATAAATTTATAAAGCCACAAGTGACCCAACCATTGGATTTTCCAGATGGTGGATATCTATCACCTCCATTCATGAAATGGAAAGAGAGCTACCTTTGCTCTGTTAATATGCCACAAAGTGACCCAAGTTCTATTTGAATATATTTTAGAGGCAAGGACTGCTTGCTGCAAATTACAAATTCTTTTTTTTTTTTTAATTTTTATTTTGAGAGAGAGAAAGAGAGAGGGCGAGCAGGGGAGGGGCAGAGAGAGGAGGAGAAAGAGAATCCCAAGCAGGCTCCACTCTGTCAACACAGAGGCCGACATGGGGCTTGAACTCACAAACCAGGAGATCATGACCTGAGCCGAAATCAAGAGCTGGATGCTTAACTGACTGAGCCACCCAGGCGCCGCCTCAAGTTACAAATTCTTACCCTCGTCTCTTAAACACGAACTGCACAAAAAATTTCCAAACTCGTTCCAATCTCACCATGTGACACCTACTTCCTGAACTCAGAGAACAAGGCCACAGGCTTAACCCCAAAGAACCCATCCTTGTGTTTTTCTTTCATTTTAACTTAATGAAATGGAGTTTCAGGATTTCCTGCATTTTTCAAGAGCCCTCGCACCCCATGCAGCGCCTATCACACTTAGAAAATGCTGCACCGGGACAGAGATCTGCAAAGCAAATAGTAAAACTGACTTAGCCACATTCCACAGAACTGGATTTTGAATTTTCAGGTTTGGAATTCAGAAAAATAGCCATAGGAATCACCAGGATTGCTCCACTGCTGGAGGCTGCAGGAATGCCAGGTGATGGGCACTTGGCGTCACCGGCACCCCAGGGCTTGGAGCGGGGCAGGGGGTCCAGGCTGGCCGGCGGCATCACTATGACAGCACGCACTGCAAACAGGCACTGAGTGTGTCCATCTGCCAGGCCGCACGTACACTGAGGGCTCTGGTAGCCGTTTGATGAGCTACCCCCCGAGGCAACACATGTGGTAGTGTCACCCCCAGCAACTCAGGGTGAGTTCAGACAGTCTGAGCAAGGGCCACACATGAGAAGCCAGGGCTGAAAGTACACGGCTGGCCGCCCAAGCCCGCGCTTTCCTCTCCAGTGTGCTGCTCGGCAACGGTACTTGAGCAACAACACCAAGGTCACGCGCTGTGCTGAGAGCCCCACCGTCCCAGAGGCGGCCTGGACAGACCCCTGTTTCCCTGCCGCAGGGGGCAGCCCTGGCCTGCTGTGTCACCTGCAACTGTTCCCAAGCCAAGGGTGGTGGGGAGGAAGGCAGAGAGCATTACAGCTGACTTTACCTGTAACGAATAAAAATACACGGAAAGAGGAAGGGTCCCTGGCCGAGCTATAACGCGTGTATTCGTGGGTCTGTCAAACTGTCACTCCGGAAGGCACTGCGGAAAGCAATGAACTCTGACCATCGCCACAAGGAAAACCACCCAGTGGGACCCGTGGCTGCTTGGGACGTGAACTGGCATAAAAGGAATTCTCTTGCAAGCTTCTGTAAACGTGAAAAATAACAAAAAGCCCTTTGCTGAATCAGTGAATACCAACTTGTAAAAGAAATACACTGATGCAGAAGTAATTTACTCTTTCTCTACATACCACTTTGTATCACCAAAAATTCAATCCCAGAATGGCTCAAATTCACCCTTGTAACACCAAATCCCAGTCACAAGCCGTCAGGAGTTCAGAGGAGTTTATGAGAAAAGGGAAGAGATTCAAAGCACACTCGTCGTCGCCGCCAGGCACTCCTCCCCTGCCTGGTGTCACAGGCATCCGACAGCTGGAAAGGCACTACAGGCGCTGGACAGTGGCAGCGGCTGGGTGAAGGTCCCTCTGGGTTAGACGTGGAACTACGACCTGGCTCAACCCTAGGTGAGCAGCACGCACCTGCCTACTGTCTCGTTCTGCCCACGACACCTGCAATTCAGGCCAGAAGAGGGGGCAGTAGGCGGAGGATGTGTGAAGTGGATTCCCTCCTTAGGGTCTCGGTCGCTCCGCTATCATCTCATCTATGCCTTCATCCTGCAGAGCCATCGCTTGTGTGGGAGGCAGAGAGGCAGTAAGGAAGGGAACAGGATGTGAATTTAGGACCGCATCAGCACACGGGGAAACCCGTCCTAACAGCAGGGCAATCAAGGCTGCACTTGACGTAGCCCTGAACGTACAGTCAGAGGCCGGGGCCTCCAAGGAGTTAGAAAGGCAGGCCCGTGTGCTTGCTCACCTGACTGCTGAAGGGCTCTTTCTTGGCCGAGCTCTGGGCCTGCGAGGGACTCTGGGCAGGCGACAGCCGCGAGGGGCTCTTCTTACTCTGAGGCAGCAATGAGGACAGGAAACCCACTCGAGGCGACTGGGAGAGGGAAGTGCTCCTCTGGCTGCACACCATGGCCCTGGAAAGCAGACACGCAAGGCCACAGGGCTGGAGGAGACCTGGGGACAGCCGAAGCACAGGCCTCCTGGGTTGTGGACGGTGCCAGGTGCACGCGCCTGCGCTCTAAGGGGGCACTGCCCTCGGTACTACTTCTTGTACCCAAGGGAGCCAGCAGCCTATCCGGCACAACAGCAAAGCATGCAGTGGTTCTGTGGAGGGCCGGGGTGAACCTCGGAGCTGTGTGGTATAAAACACACACCGGATCGCAAGCCTTAGCATGAAAACAAGTGTAAAATTGCTCATCGCAGGTACTTTGTTTATATTCATCACAGGTTGAAATGTTTGGGATATACTGGGCTAAATAAGACATATCCCAAAATTAACTTCACCTGTTTCTTTTTACTTGAAGTAAAAATGTTTAAGTCACATTTGGGGCTTGCCAGACCCTGCTAGCTCAGAAACCGGACCGGCTGCTCCTGGGAAGACCCATGGCCACGTGCACGCGTGGAGGCCACGTGCACAGCATGGAGTCCGCCTGCCCAGGTCTGCCTCCTGACTCACTGGCCATGGCCGCTCTGTGCCTCCGGTTCTTCACCGGCTACTACTATTAGCATCAGCTGGGACTTGTGCTTTAGCCAACAGAAAAGGAACCAGATTTTAAGGCTGCCTGAATGCCTCTCCCCGCATCTGTCTACCCCTTCAAGCCCTCGGACGGGAGCACGCTTCCACCACAGGCTGCATCCGGCCTGTTGGGTGCCAACATTTCCATCCATGAGGCACCCCTTTCAACACACACAGCCCGCCCAGGGCTTCATGACTGCGACTGGGCCTAGTTATCCCGGCTGCGCATGTCTGGATGTGCAGTCCCCCTCCCTCAGGGTGCGCTCAGAGGCCAGAGGGCCCGAAAGGCCAGGAGACCTTACTCAGAAAGCTCAGACAGGAGCAGTGAGGGCCGGGGCGAGGTGAGAGCGCAGAGGACAGAGGGGAGAGGGGAGAGGGGAGAGGGGCGGCCCTCCCACCCCAAAGGGGGCACACACTCACAGCTCCGAGTCCCCCAGGCGGTCCATGTTGGAGACATAAGGGGGCAATTTGTGCTGGACCAAGGCCTCTTCCTCCTCTGGCTGCAGCTCCTCTTTCTTCAGGCGGTGGATTTCAGCTTGCAAGGCAAAGAGCTGCTCAAGGGTGGGGGCAAGTCAGGTGGTGACCTTCCCTCCACCGAGGCGCATGAGACACATCCCATCCAACACTGCACCGCATGGGCTCAAGAGGCCACTGGGCCTCAGCCTAGGGGCGCCCCTCTCACCCTGTGCTCAGTGCAGAGCAGGAAAATGGGCAAGAGGCAGCCGTTACTTGACCACAGGGAGGTGAGAAACCAACAACTGTTAGATACACAAATCCCACTCCTTTTCTTTTTATCATTTGACTTGCTTCTTCCTGAATTCACGGAGAAAAATAGCTGCATGCAATCCTGCCTTGCTCTTCGGAATCTACAAAATCAGGCTCTGGAACTCTCATGGAAAAATTTTTTTCAGTCAAGCTCAGCATTTTTGACCTTAAGCCTGAAAAAAAATTACATTGGCACAAGCACCCAAAATGTAAACAGCTTATAATCTTTTTCTGAAAAAATGACGTACAGATGCCTTAACTTCAGGGACAGAGAAATGCTCCTCAGACAAAATGCAAAGGCAATTGTGGGTCCACTGGCTCTATCGTTTTACTCACCTATAGGATCATGGAACTGAGCAGCACAATTAAATCATATCTGGGCTGTGAACAACATAGATGTGGATGGATGTGGAAAAGGACTGAAGTATGAAAGAGACACGGGAGAGTTGTAAGGCATGAAAGCACATGGGTCCTCTCCTCTCCAAGTTCATTACCATTGCTATGCTGTTCGTGCTATACAGAGGACTTAAAATAAGAACCTGGCCTCTGGTTTTCAGAGACGATTACAGCCCCCAAATCTCCAATACTGACTTTCCGGTGGCTCACTTCCATCTGAGATCAGTGGTTTCCTATTTTTAATCAGCCCCCCACCACCACTACCCAATTTCACACATGAAAAGCAGAAGTTCTTCCCAAGAAGCAAGCGTGTTTCAGAACCGACCTTCTGGCGAAGAACCTCATTTTCTTCTTGAACCTGGTTGGTCCTCTGGCATTCCGCATCAAAGTTCAGAATCACAGGTACCGGTGCACGAAGTTAAAGAAAAAGCTGGCCTGAAAAAGGATTAGAAATCCTTCCCAAACTCTTGACGCGGCAGCAAAACCCTTGAACATTAGTCACAGGGAACAGAGTACGGACGTTGTCCTGAGGGCCCTCCATGGCTGTAGGAAAGTCTCTCCCCTGCTACCAGGTCTGGCCTTTCTTCGGACAGACTCACAGATCCTCCTAACAATCTGGCTGGTCAGCCCAAAGAGAAGACGTAAACCTAACCCTGAGCGTGTTATCCCAAATTCCAGCAGCAAACAACTGGCATTCCGTCATTTATGGCCAGTCGAAGCTGTGGCAAGGTCAGTACACTCAGAAGCCACCCCAGCGGCCAGGTAGTCTCCCAGCTGGGCGGAAGGCTGGGCCATTGGGTCTTCCCCTGCCCAGACCGAACCTCTCCCTGGCAAAGGTTTAGACGAAGGAGACAGCTTTCTGCAGACTGGTCAGCAACATGCCATCGTATGAATAGCCACATTCTAGGTCAGGGGGTCGGTCTTTTCCAACCACCCTAAACTGCTTCCTTCAGAGGGAGCACAAAGCAGGCAGAGCCTCCGTACTGGGGACGTGAACTGTGGCTCGAGTGTGTGTGACCCAATTTGCAGGGCACTGTCCTGCACTGAAAAGCCCTAGAAGGCCCACAGGGTCATGCAAAATGCTACTGGGCAGAGCCCCCTCCTAGTTTAGTCTGAAAGTTCTCAGCATAAAAAGCAGGGGGGGGGGGCTGTCCCCGGCAAGAGTGGAATTGACCCCCGGACCCACACTACAAAAGGAAAGGGCACCCTTCCTACCTCCACCAAAAGGTGCCCCTTCCAGAGGCCAAAGCAGCCACCCGTGGGCGGGCCTCTACAACGGCCGATTTATCAGTGACTCACCTTTCAAACCGGACTCCCTTCCCCTCTAGAATTCCAGCCTAGATAGCATGAGCAGTGGGGGATGCCCTGGGCCTCAAGAAGGCAGGCCTTCCGTGCAAAATGGTAACCATGGTAGGCTATAAATTATTGATATTCTCTCTTTCTCTTTCTCTCTCAATACTCACACATATATTCTTAAAGCTGCTCTGTTTTCTAGCGACTCTGAGGTCCCTGTCAGAGAGTGACCCGAACGCAAACACAGGAAGTTCTAACCCAAGTGCTGACCTGCAACCTAATCTCAACAGAGGCAAGTAACGCCCTCGGGGGCACAGGGCACGCAGGGAGAGGGCATTCGCGGCTGGCCGGTTCCTCTAAGCAGCAGCAAGCCCTGGGGGCTCCCCACAGGGCCAGGCGTCCGTACCCCACTGCTACCTCGCTCCCTGCTCACGCACATCAGCTGTTTAGCAGCCGCGTCAGGACGAAGATGTACAACTGCCTGGCCTGCTGACAAAAATAACCACAGCCCGTCCAGCCCCCTCACGTAACACATGACAGCCACCTTCGGGCATTCTGTGGAAGCAGCAACTGCACGGGGAGCAGTGGCCCCTGAGCTCGCTGTCTGGAACCCCCGCCGAGGCGGCTGGAAGGATATGCATGCACTGAAACAGCACGCTCAGGAAGTTGTGCAGCGACACGATGAAGGTGTCGGCCCACTGTCGAGAGAAGTACGTGGCGAAGGCGGGGTTGGTGTCTGGGGACGGCAGGAAGGGCAGGACAAACCAATCCTTCCACTCGGCCTGGTTCTGGAGCTCTGCGGCCTGCTTTGCAAAGAACTCTTGGGCCTTGTCATTTCTGTTTGTCTGCGAAAACAAAAAGGAGGTAGCAAAACAGGGGAAGAGACAGAAGTCCGGAAGAAAGACTCTTCATTAGCCTTTGGACATCAGCCTGCCAGGTAAGTGGCCGAACGGAGTCTACAGACTCCGTAAAATAAAGGACATCACTCTTTTCTCAGAGTTCCTTGTAAGTTCAAAGAAGCTGGTCCAAACTGCAGTCCTGAATCTAAATGCCATCCTAACAAATGAATTCTTTGTGGATTTTCAAATAATCGAAGTGACTTATTCCCCCAGGGAGGCTATAAGCTTTATTCCTCAAGCTTTCACCCACCTACTTATATCCTTTAAAACGCCACCCAGGCTTATGTGCTTCAAACAAGAGAGGAAATAGGAATGAGGAAGACAAGTCAGATGATCTACACATGAGAAGGGAAAAAAAAAAAAGTAGGAAAACAATCAAAAATAATTGGCGTTGTGACTATCCCACTCTTTCCCAGAGCAACATAGACGGTCCTCCCTAGAAGTTAAAAGAAAACCTATTTCAGATTCAAAGAACTGTCTCCAAGGAATTCCCTGAACTAACAAGCACCTGGATCGTGTAGACGAGATAAAAGCGGAACAGGCTGGTTTTCAGCTTGTTGATGGTGGGTCTATATATATCCTCCAAGCGGCTGAAGAGCCTACGTTCCAGGTAGCTCCAGTAATCCCGAAGGGCGGCCAAGTCATACACCTGCATTAATTGTTGCAGCTGGTCCACAATCTTGTCCACCTGGTGGAGAAAGATGGGACACAGGTGGTGGTGAAGGACAAGAGGGAGTTTTCCCATCACTTCACCCAGTTAATACACCTTTTGCCTCTTCCTTGGGCTTCGAAGATTAGAATTTTTTCTAAGTGAGCAATCTAGAAAACATTCAAAACATGGTAATGTAATAGCTTTTGAGTTAGTTCCTGATGTTAGATAGGTGGTTGGACCCTCCCGCGAGCATGGAAAGTTCAAGTGTAAAAGCACTCTGGCCCAGAAAGCAGGAGGTCTGGGTCTAGGCCTTGGATCTGTGTCTGGCTTACTCAACCAACTTGACAAAGTCACTTCGACTCTGTGGTCCCGGTTGCCTACGATTTCAAAAAACGAAAAAAAAAGAGAGGCAACCTCCATAACCCTCCTCCCAGCTCCACCATTCCACAAGTCCAAGACTCCTTCAAGTCATGGAAGTATTACTAACAGCCCCTCCAGCGGCTCAGAGTGTCAGCCAAAGAAGTCACCTCCTTGTGAGAAATCACACCAGAGTACATACACAGTCTGTAAAAGGTTTTAGATACCAGTACCAATCCAACATCCCATTTTTTTTTTTTTAAGAGAGAGCACACAAGGCAGCGAGGATGCCCAGCCCCTGAGATCAATCCCACCTCCCTGAGATCAAAACCTGAGCTGAAATCAAGAGTCCGGCGCTAAGCCGACCGAGCCACCCAGGTATCCCAGGAACATCCCCATTTTACGGAGCAGGACACTGAGGCTTGGAGAGCCGAAATGCTTTCCTTTTGCCACTAAGTACCACTAACTTGCCAAGACGAGACCTCAGGTCTCCTAACTTCCCCCGTGTTCTTGCTACAAGCTCCCTGCCTCTCAGTTCGCCTCCCAACACCAATTAGAGTCAGCAAACACACAGATCACACACAAATTCCGAGAACTTCTCAACAGAAAACCACGTCTGAGCAGAGGAAATATATTGTTTAAATCGTACAACAAAGTCCTCCTGAAACGGAGGGGCAAATTTGCCAATAAGTCACCGACAAAGCCATTTTAAACGAACATCAAAAGGTGCTTGAACCCTGCTAACATTTTGGAGTGCAGACCCCTTTGCTCCCGATGACATCGGAAGCCAACTTTTGAATGTTTCTGTTGCCCAAACTCAGAACTGTCTACCCATTCTTAGATTCTAAAACCCTTATCTCCATCCTGGCCAACTGGCCAGCACCTGCTGGGAGGCTGGAGCGGAGGACCCAGACCTGGACCAGGAGTCAGGGCAGGGCACCTGGGCTCCAGCCTCAGCGATGCTCTTGACTCGCTGGGCAACTTCAGGCAAGTCACGTTCCCTCTCAGGACCTCAGTTCCTTGTGTGTCAAGCGGAGGGCCAGACGCGCTGAGATCAACGGTCCCCCCGGAGCGGTGACAGCGCCACTCCCGCCCCGGAGGGCAGTGCTGAGGTGGGGGAGCCCGCTCCGGTCGCCCTCGGGGCCGCCTCTGCCCGCGCCGCGCCCTCCGGCCCCTCACCCGGAACCCTTTCTCCTTGTCCGCCTTGATCTCGGCGTCCAGCTGCCGCAGCGTGTGCGTAAAGCCGCGGAACAGCAGGTACTCCCTCACGAGCTCGTCAGTGCGCTCCACGGCCTCCGCCATCGCTGCGCCAGCGCCGTGAGCCGCTGCTGCAGGCGAGGGAGGGGGGCGGGGCCTGGGTGCGCGGGGCGGGGCCAGGCGCGCGCGCCAAGCACGTCATGCCGCGACCCGCCTATCAGTCCGCACGCACCGCGCGCCGCGCGCCTGTGGCCACGCCCCAGCCCCGCCCCCAGTCCTGCCCAGCCGCTTCCGTCAGCCTCACCCCCTCGGGGATGAGCTGCTGGAAGACCCATTGCTCGCCGGGGTTTGCTGGCGTAGCTGGCGCCGGCTTTGTGATCTGAGTTATTGAAAGTGGCGGCTGCCGTCCAAGTCAAGTAGGGTTGGACCTTGGAGAACATCCCAGACAGTCACGAGATGGGCAGAGGGTGAGGTGCCCTGCTCATTGGCATTCCATCGCGGAATCCTCTGTGTCGAGTCCTCGTTTTACAAATAAGGGAAACTGGAGTCTGGAGTCCGGAGGTAAAGGGACTTGTGTGCAGTCACACAACCAGCTTGAGTCATCAGAGAATTCTAGAGAAAGGTTTGTTTTCATGAATAAGAGTAATCAGCTACACGGCCAGATAACCAAGATACACTGTTAGGAAAAAAGAAAGCAGATTTCAGAACAGTATGTATACTATGGTCCCAATTTCTTGTTTTAAAAAAAAGGGGGGGATGGGGCGCTTGGGTGACTCAATCAGTTAAGAGTTGACTTTCACTCAGGTCAAAATCAGGTCATGATCTTATGGTTCCTGAGATCGAGCCCCTCATCAGCTATGCTCACTGCTCGGAGCCTGGAGCCTGCTTCAGATTCTGTGTCTCCCTTTCTCTCTGCTCCTCCTCTGCTCATACTCTTGTCTCTGTCTCCCTCTCTCAAAAAATAAAGTAAACATTACCAAAAAAAAAAAAAAAAAGATGTGTGTGTGTTTGTGTGTACATTTAAAACTTAAGGAAGATTATACACTCACCACTTAGGGTTTTTGTCTCTAAGAGGTGAAACTATGAGGTACTTTCACTTCCTATTTTTTACTTTTTCTTGTTTGAAATATTTATAAGGTATATATATTTTTGCAAGCAGGTAAAGAGCCAGTACCTTTGAGCCTTCCATTTCTCCTCTGTAAAATAGTGACAACCATACCTACCTTGCAGAGTAATGACAATTTAATAGGATAATGTATGTAAAAAACTTAGCGCAATCGCCCGTCATTAAAATGCAGTATTTGTTCCCATCTTCCCTCTAGTAGTGTGGCTTTCTGTCGTTATCAAAGTAGAACTCAGAATCACTACTGCCACTTTGTCCGGACCCTCCGACACAACTGTATGGAAATTTAACTCCAAAGGGGCTCGGATCTATACTGGAGAGACCAGAAGAGATAAGAGGGAGCAAGCCACAGCAAGACCAGTTTCACCCTCTCCCTGCTTTCGCTGTCTTCACAGGTGTGAGACACCTTGCCCCACAGGACAGGAGAGTCACCTCGGTGACTCCTGGGAGGGCCGGACCAAAATCCTGCTTCGACTGGGATCTCCAGTCATCAAAAGGGCGCTTGGGAAATCCCCAAAAGGAGTAATGGCCAAGACCTTTGCCTCCGAATGTTCCTAATTCGATTTTCCTAAGGCACGTGACACACGCTGGCATAGCTCCCGCGGCCCTCACCTCCACCTGCCAGGCGCTTCCCAGACCGGAACCTGTAAAGTCAGCTAAGGTTGGATTTCCGGTCAGTGAAAAGCAGCTCTGCCCAGAGTTTTTATTGCCTGTCCCCCCTGTACACTAAAATGGAAGCTGCACGAAAGCAGGGATTTTGTCTGAATTGTTTGCTACTATATCCTCAGAACCTTCAACAGTGTCTGCCTATAGTAGATGCTGAATAAATATTTGTTGAATGTATGAACGAGGGCAATTTCAGTGAAGGCCAAGCCACCTTCAAACAGGAGAGCCCCGCTACAGCGAATGGAAACTCTCGGATCCCTCCCGTGTGTAGACTCTGTGGGCTTCTGACCGACTGTCTCCCTGTCCAAAGCATTTCTTCTTTCCATCTTCCCTCCATAGTATGTTGCTCACTCTTTAAAGATTTCTAGAGACGTTTAGCTGAGTTGGCTTTACGTAACTGGAGAGGGCACTAGACTCTCCAGCTTATTCATCAGCTCGTTAGGTGATCTGATTAATCTTTGACTGCATATGCTCTGGTGCCTGCTCTGAAAGTAGCAGGTAGCCTGGGGTTCCTTTAAGAAGGTGCAGTCACGGGCACCTGGGTGGTTCAGTCAGTTAAGTGTCCAACTTCCAGCTCAGGTCATGATCTCACACTTCGTGAGTTCCAGCCCCGCATAGGGCTCTGAGCTGACAGCTCGAAGCCTGGAGCCTGCTTCAGAATCTGTGTCTCCCTCTTTCTTTCTGTCCCTCCCCCGCTTGTGCTCTCTCTTTTTCAAAAGTAACTAAACATTAAAAAAATTAAAAAAGAAAAAAAGAAGAAGAAGGAGGAGGCACGGTCGGGGGCCTGCAGCAGTCTATTACACCAAAAAAAAAAAAAATACACAGGCATCCACAAGGTGAACCACAAATTATCTTTGCTTTCAATCTAATCATCACTCTTGCCTTTGAGTCAGGAGAGGAAGGACGGTGGGGGGGAGTGGTGGGGGGGGAAGGGGGACCAGTAAACATTTAATGAGTACTTACTAGGTGCCAGGCAGTGTGCGAGGTGTCAGGAACAGGATAATGAGAAAGACCAGCCCTCAGGACTAGCTCCCAGGGGGGCGGGGGGCGTGCTATGCAGACAATTGAAGCCCACACTGGCTGCAGAGTGGAGGCTGGATTGGATGCGGTCAGGGCCGGAAGGAGGATGCAGGCGGGATAGGAGGCTGTGACATTCTGAGCAAGGAATGAGACTAGACTGCTAACAGCAAGGAGGAGGGGCGGGGGGCAGATTTGAGGATTCCTGAGAAGTGGAATCAGCTGGACCTGGTGACTGATTAGCCGAGATCGATGAGGAGCAGGGGTGATCGGTGACTGGCAGGCTTCTGGCTTGGGCATCTGGGTGGATGGTAGTGCCATTCGGGGACACAGAGAACTCAGGAAGAGGAGACCATGGGATTCCCACACACACTGCTTTTGGTGAAAGCTAAAACAGAGACGCAGAAACAGTAAATAATACGAGGATCCAGAGCGCGGCTGTCCCACCTCACTGCCCTGGAGGCTTCGGCTACTACCTGTACACCGATGGTTCCTAAATCTTACCTCCAGCCCAGCCCTTTCCCCTGAGCTCCTGCCCAGATGCCCAAGGGCCCCTCACACGTAACTGTACTCGTGGGGTCAGAAGCATTTATGGAAGCTTCAAGTTGAAAATGGTGAATGAGGCCTGAGGCCTGAGGCCTGCCACGTCGGATTGTAGATTTCAGCCCCGTTCCTCCAAAGTGGAGTTCTGGTACCACCCACATCAGAATTACGTCAGCGGCTTGTTAAATGACAAAGCCTGGGGACCAACTCAGACCTACTCAGAATTGCCTGGGATGGTGCCTGGGAATCTGCATTTGGAGCAAACTCTGGGCAAGTTCTTAGGGACACACAAGTGTGAGAACCACTTCGCTCATGGTAACAGAGGGTAGAAGGCACCAGCTACCAATCAACAGAGCTCCCACGCCTAAGTGACTTTTTTTTTAATTTTTTAAAAATGTTTTATTTATTTCTAGGAGAGAGAGACAGCGTGAGCAGGGGAGGGTCAGAGAGAGAGGGAGTCACAGACTGGAACAGGCTCCAGGCTCTGAGCTGGCAGTCAGCACAGAGCCCGACAAAGGGCTCGAACCCACAAACCGCGAGATCATGACCTAAGCAAAAGTCGGATGCTTAACCGACTAAGCCACCCAGGCGCCCCCTAAGTGACTGTTTTAAACTTAAAAGTAATACCAACAACCACGTTTGTAACTGCAGGACACTTTTACATACACTGTTCCGTTTGATTTTTCATGATTTTCGGTGTACAGCCCTGTAAAGTTTCCTTTTCCGCATTTTAGAAATAGAAAACTGAGGGGCCTGGGTGGCTCAGTCGATTAAGTGTCCAGCTTCGGCTCAGGTCATGATCTCAGGGTTTGTGGGTTCGAGCCCCACGTCTGGCTCTGTGCTGACAGCTCAGAGCCTGGAGCCTGCTTCTGATTCTGTGTCTCCCTCTCTTTCTGCCCCTCCCCTGCTTGCGCTCTGTCTTGCTCTCTCTCAAAAATAAATAAACATTTAAAAAAATTTTTTGAAAGAAATAGAAAACTGAAGTTTAGGAAGACTAAATATCAGTGCTCTGCTCAGAGCTTTTACAGCAGCAGCATTGAATTGGTCAACTTGTGAGACGGGTGAGAGACAATGGATTATCTCTCCTCTTAAAGAGTTTTAGAACTCAGACTAAGCACACAGGGTCTCTTTGGTAGCTGGAGCATTCTTCCTGGGGCATGGATCAACTTACCCCTGCGTAGCCAGAGATTAACAGGTCAGAGGAGCAAGAGCACCAGAAGTTATCCAAGGTTCCAGGGTTATCTTCGAATTTCGCCTCCTGTCCTTCTAATCTTGATGCTCTGGGATGCCCTTGGTGTCCCCCCACAATTTCTGAGATTTCTTTTCACCCTGTCCTTTGCCTGAGTCTGCCGTAGTTGTTTGCTTAAACTGTGTCCTTTTCGACTCAGCCTAGTTATCCTTAGTCACTCCCTCTCTGGTTGCGCTGGCTCTTCTCTCTGTTCCCATTATCATGTTGCTTTGTAACCATCTGTCTTATCTCCTTGGTTGTAAACTCCTGAGAGCAGAGAAGGTGTCTTGCTGACCCTAATGTCTCCAGTGACTAGCACAGTCCTTTAAAAATAGGTGCCCAGTAGCAGTTTGGTGAATTAATGAGTGAGGAAATGAAGTCCACATGACTGGACTGCCGGGACTTTAGGTAACATGTGCAACGCAGAGCATCCATTGCCATTGCCGAGGGCAGAGGAATCTTTTGCACCAGGGTCAGTGCCATAAAAGCTATGAGCACTTCTGAAAGCTGGAAGAGGCCCACCGTGACCCACGTAGCAAT